TAGGACAGACAAAACTCTTTAATATTTTCTAGAGCCAAGGGAAATATTTTTTCTACACTTCCTTCAAGAGTCCCTAGTTTTACACTGGCATCTCAGTTCCAACATTTTGCAGACTCTAGGCCTTCTTTCCAGCACTGAAGTGACAATTAAAATTCTAAGTCCTTAATGTCTTACATCTTGTTTTGTGTGACAGATACATGAATTCACAGAACTGCCAAAATTAACTGAGCATTAATTAATTAAATCACACATCAATTAAAATATAACTCAGGCCTGGTATGGCAGACTAGTGGCTAAAGTCCTCGCCTTGCATGTGCCAGGATCCCATATGGACACTGGTTCTCCCATCCAAGTACTAACCAGGCCTGACCCTGCTTAGCTTCCGAGATTAGATGAGATTGTGCATATTTAGGGCAATATGGTGCCCATATGGGATCCCAGTGCATTCAAGGTGTGGACTTTAGTTGCCAGGCCCACTGCGCTGGGCCCCAATAAAAATAAACCTTTAAAAATATATATTTACGTGTGGTAGCCTAATGGCTAAAGTCCTTACTTTGCATGTGTCAGAATCCCATATGGATTCTGGTTTTAATTCTGGCAGCTCCACTTCCCATCCAGCTCCCTGCTTGTGGCTTGGGAAAGCAGCTGAGGACAGTCCAAAGCCTTGGGACTCTACACTCACATGGGAGACCCAAAGGAAGCTTCAGGCTCCTAGCTTCAGATTGATTCAGCTCCAGCAGTTGCAGGTACTTGTAGGTTGAGTTATTGGATAGAAGATCTTCCTCTCTGTCTCTCCTCCTCTCTGTAAATATGACATTACAATAAAAAATACATAAATCTTTATATATATATGTATAAAAATATAACTCAAACTTAACAGTTCTTAATGTTAACACACCTGGGGCCAGCACTGTGGCTATCAAGTTAAGTTTATGCCTGCAATGACAGCATTCCATACAAGGATGGGTTCAAGTCCCAACTGCTCCATATTTAATCCAGTTCCCTAATCTGGGAAAGTAGTGGGAAATGGTCCAAGTCCTTGGTTTCCTGAAACCCTGTGGGAGACCTGGAAGAAGCTCCTGATTTCTGGCTTCAGCTTGGCCCAGCCATATCTGCTATGTCCATCTGGGGAATAAACTTGTGGATGGAAGATAATTTCTCTCTTTGTCTTTCTCCTTTTTCTACTTCTACCTTTTATATAAATAAATAAAACCTTAAAAAAAATAAATCTGGGGCTGGATTTTTTTCAAATGGCTAGGATGCTGGTTGGGAAATCCACATTCCATATCACACTGCCTGAGTTCAAGTCTTGGCTCCACTTCCCATTTCAAAATCAGCAACTACAGATTCCGGGGGAGAAGGGGGGGCCACAGGTGACAGCTCAAGTGACTGGACCCCTGTACGAGGACATTGTGACCCTAGAAGGTCAGTGAGCACAGGATTACAATTGATTGGATAATATTTGTATGATAACAAATATGGCGATGTCTGGAGACAAAACTATGGAGAATCCCCCACCACAAATGTATCCAAAATGTCAACAGCACCAAGACTGGAAAACTCTGATCTTAGAGCATCACAACTTTATTGTAGAATTTGGGCTTTGGCCTTGGCATTTCACATGGATATGATATAGTCTAGGTATCAATCTTGATGAAAATATCTTGCCTGAAAATTTATAGACTTTTTCCAAAATGATATGTGTGAAAAAGAATGTAGCATATTCATGTATCTTTTAACATTCTTACAGGATGAACAAACTGCTGTCAGACTAAAATGTCAAAACCATTCAGGATATAAATGAAAGGAGCTTAGGCTGTAGGTGAGCATAACCTCTAGGGAAGTCAATATAGAGAGTACTGAGAAAACTGAAAATTGATTTGCTGTATGACCCTGCAATCTTTGGGAATATATCCAAAGGAAATGAAATCTGTATATGAGAAAGTGACCTGTAATCCTATATTTACAGTAGCACAATCCACAACAGCAAAGGCACAGAAACAACTCAGATACCTGTCGAAAGAATGAATTAAAGAAACTTGGCACATCTACTCCAATGAATACTGATCAGCCATTAAAAAGAATGAAATTCTTCCACTTTCCACAAAATGGTCCCAACTACAGACCATTACGCTCAGTGAAATAAGCCAATACAAAAAGGGCAAATATCATGCAAAATATAAGATCAATGGATATATAGGTAAATGTGTATATACATGTTTATTTAGAGGAACGTATAATGGAGGCAAGTATACTGTGAAGTGGAGACACACTGTAGTATGCGTCTATACTTCTGAATAAAAGAGGGACTCCCAATGAAACTGTTCATATTTCTTGACAATAGAATGCTGGACTTTCTGCTATTGTCTATACCTACAATGTCATAAATCTTAAATCACAGAATGATGGAATTGTGACTGTTGTAGAAGGATTATATTATTGCTATATTATAGAGAAAAGCAATCAGGAGGAGGAATGGAAAGGGAGAGGATGGAAGGGGAAATCCCTGAGCCTTAGGAACTAAACTATATCATAAAACACACACACACACACACACACACACACACACACACACACACACATACACACACACACTAAATAATATGTATGTATATGATCAACTAAACAAATTCATTTGATGATAAAAATAAGTATTGGTGATCATGATTTAGCAACGAGAAGCTGGCATATCTAATGCATATGCTTGAGAGATTATAACTACATTCTAACCTAAGGTTCACACAAAAGTGATTTCCTAAACTGGTCTGGATAGGTAACAACAAGTCAAGCTTTACACCCTTGGCAGGTTAATGATATTTAAGGACACTGTCCTGGGTAACAGATCCCACTGAGAGCATTGCATTGATTTTTTTTTTCACTCTCAAGAACTGTTTGATATGCTTCTGCCACAAAATAAAATAGAGGGTATTATGGCTTTAATACATACTATTTCAAGATGAGACAAAGCAGGACTAGAGCTTAAATTATGGAAAACCTATTGATATTATCATTATTATTTAATAATTAGGCATATGATAAAGCACAGACAGAGAACATAATGAACAGCACTTACCTTCTTACCAGACAGGTTAAGAACTAGAGCACCACTGACATGACAACCTCACAGAATTCTCCATTCCTCCCTGTCCACCCACCCGCCCCAGAAGTAAACAAGCCTCTAAATTAGGTGTTTATTATCTCCATGCTTGGTTTTAATTTCCTATTATCCATGAAATCTACAAACAATCTATAGTACTGTTATGCTTGTTTTTAAATTTATAAAAATGGTATCAAACACATTGTCTTTAACTTCCTTTTTCTAACTGATAATTTCCTGTGTTTAACAGCTATAGGAATCAAGAGAAGGAATAGAAGTCCTGCATGCACTCAACTTCAATGTCTTCAAAGAGAAACTCACCTGTGATTGGGCTGAATTGTCCCCACATGCCCCTGCCTACACTGGCCGGGTGCCTTTTGCCACAGCACACCAGTGAAAATGGTAACTGAAATTCACACCCTTGCATCCAGACACAGGGGTGGTCCTAATACCACTCCTGGAACACGTGAGAAATTTACTGGTCTTGAGGCTTCCCTCAGGCCTCTATTAAGAGGAATATGGGCAGTGAATTCACTGCTTTAACACAAATTTCTGTGCTCACCTAATGGGTTTTTTCACAGTAAAAACAGAAGTCAGATTTGACTACTCTGTTTTCATATACAAAAAGGTCACCAACTACCTACAAACCTTGATAAATAATAAAACTGAATTTTAAAAATCCACGATGCTAAAAAACCTGCTAGAGCTGAATGTTAGAAACAAAGTCTTTATTGGAAAGCAACTGAATGAAAATAAAGCTTTAGCTATTTTTGCCCCTTTCCATTTCAAAAGGCAAGTAGTGGAGCAGAGGAGGACTGAGAGTCCAAACATGAGCTGGGTTGTAATGGTTTTTCCAAGGATTCAGAGACTGGCCTCAGAAGGATGCATCAGAGTCAGATTTAGTCCAGGACGGGCCCCCAGGGGAGGCAGCTGACACCAGTGCCTGCTCTCATTTCAGATACACGGTCACGCTGCTGACATTTTGCATCAGGCTTGCTCAGCAGCTGCTCCTAAGGGGACAGACATGGAGTGCTCTGTGGAGGCTGAAGGAGGGGCAGGCTGCAAAAGCAGAGTGAGCCCCTAAAAGTACAGTACTGAGCAGGTCTGACAAACAGCTTACTGGGAAGAGGAGCTGAGGGAGAACAGAAGCAGTCCCAAAATATCATCCAAGAGGAAGAAAAAAAAAAACAAGGATTGTGTGGGCTTTAGGATATGGATCTTGTCCATAAAATCTTATATGTCCAAAAAGAAAAAAAAGTAACTAACTCTTACTTTGTCTCACACCCCTGTAGCAAAGTCTTGGATTATTACCAACTGCAAAATGCTTGTTTTTCAGGGAAGCATGGCCACAGAAAGAACAAAAGAAACAGAGATAAAGCAAGGAAGATGCCAAGTTTTGGAGTTTCTGAAAGATTTTAAGAGTCACTCAAATAATAAAATTTAATAGGTTGCTGGCCAAATGAGTTAACATGGTAATCATGATCTCACTCAGAATTAAAGGCAGAAGGCTTTGGAATCACAGAAGTGGCCAGGAGTTTTTCTGTTTCTGTTTTTTTTTCCAACTCAGGGACGATGAATGATTGCTCAACATAAAGGTTAAGGTAGTATAACAGTGAAGTTTTCAGAGTTGCTCAGTAGGTCATGTGATTACAAATGACAAAACTACCCTATGACCCACCACACACACACACACACACACACACACACACACACACACACACACAAAGGCAGCAATAATTTGTGCACCACAGGGGAATTTCAGCTGCTTGTTGGGAAAGAGAACGAAGAATCAGATGACATGCTGATTGACCCTGCAAGTGTACTTAGGAATTACAAAGTCAACATATACCTCAGGTTCATCTAGGTCAGCCCTGTATTTGCAGACCTAATGGTGTCACCTTACCTAAGTATGTCACTGATGGTAATTTCAGGGATGAACTTCTGAAGGTGCCTCACTGTTTCACCAAGAAAACAGGCTTTATACATTTCATTAACTCCGTAGGAAAAATTTTGCAACACCAGTTTAACTAAGCCACTGGAAAAAAAGAGAAAAGACACAAAGGAATTCTTTATTACTTAAACAAAACAAAACAACAATAAAAAACACACTTTTACAATCATTAGATTTAATTCTGGTGGCAACATAAAAGTCTTGTCAACTCAAGAGAGAAATATCTTCTAAAGTCAAATTTACAAGGAATGCTGGGTTGGGACTGTTAACTCTGTAAAATCTACTAACATCCGGATTTTCTTTTGAGTCTTTTTAATTGTAATGGATAGAAAGGGGAGACAGAGAAAGAACTTTCACCCCCTCCAAATGGACATAATGGCTATGGTTGCAGCTGGGCCAATTCAGAGCCAGGAACCTAGAACTCCACCAGGGCTCCAAGCTCGCGTGCCTCCTCTATTGTTTTCCCTGGTGCGTGATTACCAGGCAGCTGGACCGGAAACAGAGCAGTCGAGACTTGGAATGGGACACCAGTGTTCCAGGCAGGGATCTAACATGCAGTGCCATAACACTATCCCCACCCACCCAGGCTTTCTTAATGCAAATATTACATGTTGTCAACACATGCAAAAGACAACAAGAGATCTTCACATCTCTGCAGAGTCTACGTATGTATCATATGTATGCAGTTTTACAAGCTCCACACTAAACCATCTACTCCAGAATCCATGAAGAGTAAAATCTAATGTAAACATAGCTTTAAAAGGTTTCTAGTGACTTTGATATGGAACTCTTTGGAGAGAAACACTGCTAAATGGACCAAACAAAGATGCCTCATTAAATTATTTCTTTCCATAGGAAAGATCCTGCATCTTGGGTCAATACAACAGTATATGCTGATAATTGTTCCCACAAAGGCAGCAACTTTGGTCATCAGCAAATCTTCTAGTCTCTTACAAATGATAGTTAATGGGCAGGGAATGATCTGATACAAGGAAGATACTTCTTTTAAAATAAAATTCTTCCTTCTTTTTAAATCTCCTTTCCCCAATGATCTCTTTCCTTAACAGAGAAGGTTAGCAACGTGGTGATATATGGATTACTGTGTCTATGAATGGCCTTTATCTTTTTTTTTTTTAATTTTACTTATTTATAAGGGAAAGAAGAGAGAGAGCAAGAAAGATATCCTACATTATGGTTTACTCCCTAAATGCCTAATGCCACTCTAAAGCCAAAAGCCTAGAACTCAATATAGGTCTTGTATGTGCCTGGCCTGGATCCAATCCCTGCTGTCTCCCACAGTGTACCTTTTAGTAGAGAGCTGGAAGTAGGGCAGAGCCAGGACTTGCACTAAGGCAACTGAGATAACCACTGCTCCAAACACCCACCCACTTACCCTCTTTTTAACCAAGATACGCTGGCTCCTTATAACTTTCTGGAGATTAAAACATTACATTTATTCCACAAGGATATTAGTTTAGAGTTAGAAGAAATTCAATACTCAAATAACAAACATGAAGATTTCCATAAGAAACAGACTATGAAGACAAATTAGCCACTTAGAAAGTATAAGTACAACATGATTTTTAAAGAGAATAAAGTTGTTACCTATTAATAATTATGTCCAAAGCATCTCTGGTATTGAAGTCAAAGGGTCTGTAACCCTCTCGTTTAAAAGCAAGAACTGCATTAGGTCCCAGCCAAATGCTGCCATCCATCCTTGGTGTGAAGTGGACTCCTAGGAAAGGAAACCGGCTATCTGGGACCTACAGATTCAATACAGCAAACAACAATTAGCCCTGCATTCCATGCCATGTTACTACTGACGCAAACATTCAACTGGTAATATAAGAGTTATATTCCCATGTGTTTAATTTGCATTGTGAGCTGTACGCAGATATGCATTTTTTAAAGATTTATTTGTACTCAGATATACATTTTTTTAAAGATTTATTTATTTTTATTGGAAAGGCAGACATACAGAGAGGAGGAGGGACAGAGGAAGATCTTCTGTCCCATGGTTCACTTCCCAAGTGGCCACAACAGCTGAAGCTGAGCCAGTCCAAAGCCAGGAGCCCAGAGCTTCCCGTTGGTCTCCCACACAAGGCTTTAGGCCGTCCTCAATAGCTTTCCCAGGCCACAAGCAGGGAGCTGGATGGGAAGCAGGGCTGCCAGGATCAGAAGCGGCGCCCATATGGTATCCTGGCATATGCAGGGCGAGGACTTTAGCCGTTAGGCTATTGCGCTAAATATACATTTTCATCAATATGCTTTATGGTCAGAAATGCCAGGCAGAAAACAGTGATGTCATCGACACTAGAACACACTGTCTTATCTACTCATCTTGCTAGGCAAAGAGAAATAAGATGAAGTATCCCTACTTGGGGTTATTTTCTCTCTCTCCCACACTGAAAATAGCTGTGACTGGCAAGCAAAAGCAGAGCTGCCAGGAAAAGGATACAAAAAAAGATGCACATTCACAGCACAGGTTTGTGCAAAGTGGGAATGCATCTGTCTGAAGCAGATGAGAGTTTAGGCATGCTCAAATACAAGAAATGGCTCAAGACTAGTAATTTCAGTTGGTTCAGTCTAATGTATTTTTACAACGTCATTCATTTTGAGGGTAGTTTCAGACAGAAGAATGAATTTCAAATGTGTCTGTCTTCTCCCCTGTAAAACTACACAGTGGCACGAGCCCTTTTCTGCACCTTTGGGCAATAAGCTGAGAAACAGATGACACCCAATCCCATTCTCCAGCAAGGGCTCCCTCGATCAGAGAGCATCAACATCCAGCTCCTTCCTGGCGGCACTTCGCACACCTCACGTACGCTCATGCTCCCTGGAGCCATGTACTACTTACACCATGCAGCTTTAGGAAGTGACCCGCAGAGACCAAACGTCTGCACAAACAGCCTTGCAAACTCTCCAGATTCAGGTTAAAAAAAAATTTTTTTTGGTCATTTTTTCTGTGCCCACCACCAGCGTGAAAAGAATGAGAAGGTTTAGAAGCATTACCTACCGGATAAATGTTTCCTTTTACAAGATAGCTTTTTTCTGGCTTTAAGAGTAGATAATCTCCCCGGAATGGTACAATTCGAGGATCGGGACTGCAGCCACTCAACTCTGAAATACGGTCTGAGTAAAGGCCCGCACACGTCACAACATACTGGCTCCGAACTTCTTCTCCCTGGTTTAAAACACAATCGTGATGTGTAGAAAGCAGAGAAGCAGAATGCACCGCAAGGAAGAAAAGATAAAAGAAGAGAGAAATGACATGTTTTCTAAACAAGGATATTCAACACAAGCATAAGCAAAAAAGTTCTTCAGAGAATTTGAGTCAACAAGGCTGATTCTGACACTGTAACTGTGGCAGAGTGAGTTAAGCCCACTGTTCTTACTGCCCATGAATGCTGGTTCAAGTCCTGTTTGTGGTTTCCAGCTCCCTTCTAATGTGCCTACGAGAAGAGCAGAAGATAAAATGAATGTTTGGGTCCCTGACACCCACATGGGAGACAAGAATGGAGTTACAAGTTCCTATTGGGCCTAGCTGAAACCAATGAGACCACTTGGAGAGTGAACCAGCAGGTGGAAAATTTCTCCCTCTCTTTCCCTCTCTCTGCAACTCTGCCTTTCAAATAAATTAATTTTTAAAAATAATGGTTGATCTTGCAAGTATACTAACAAACAATACATGTGGGCCAGATATGTGGTGCAGCAGTCAAGACACCACTTAGAATGCCGGCATCCCTTACCAGAGTGCTTGAGTTTCTGCTCTTGATGCCAACTCCCTGCCAATGTACACCCTATGAGGCAGCAAGTAATAGCTCCAGGTATTGGGTCTCTGCCATATGGGAGACCTGGAATTAGTCCCTGGCTCTCAGCTTCAATGTGCTGCTACAGGCTTTTAGAAAGTGAACCAGTAGGATGGAAGACTTCTGTGTCTCCGCCTATCAAATAAACATGTTATATTTGCATGCACATACAATCCTATTTTATAGCACTGAGTTTCCTCATTATTTGTTGCATGAAGATGCAAATCTCATTTAGATGACCTTCACTACTATGATACCCTCTGTAACTTCTCTCCTGGATAATTACTGTAGAGTTACATTGCACTCAACAATCCTGCATAATATCAACTCCAACCAAGTTCCCAAACTATTTTTCATTTCTAGTCAGTATCTACTTTGCAAGCTGAGGTTACTTTAGCTATTTCATTCATCCAAGTTGCACCTAATAAGAGCACACACTCCTGTCAGGGTTTTGGTTCAGTGGTTAGGCTGTTGGGATTTCCCACAAACCTTTGTGGCTAGTACCTGCATATTTTTCGCATCATCCTACCAAGATTAGCCAATCTGCCATTAATCTGACACCCTAGTTTCTAAATTACTTCAGTTTATCACCACTTACCACAAAACTTACTTCCCATCTGTTCTTATGTACAAATAGTAATTTCTTGTTCTTGCTAACTTTATTAGATTTTCTTCTTTTAAAAAAATATTTATTTAAAAGATATTTATTTTACTTATTTGAGAGACAGGATAAAGAGGGAGAGTGATTTTTGACACACTGTTTCACTTCTCAAATGAGAGCAATGGGTAGGGTTGGGCCATGCTACAGCCAGGAGCCAGGAGCTTCATACACATGGGTACAGAGGGCCAAACCCATGAGCAATGCTCTGCTGTTTTCTCAGGCCATTAGCAGGGAGCTGGGTCATAAGTAGAACAGCCAGGACTCGAACCAGCACCCATACGGGATCCCGGAGCTGCAGCTAGAGATTTAGGCTAGTGTGCCCTAAATTAGTAAATATCTGTCCCTAGATTATCTTCTAAATCAATTTATTTCTGAAGCCTTGAAGTTCTCTTTTCATTTCAACATTCTCTTTCTGCCCAGCACCCAATGATTCAGTCTTTTTTCTGTTATGCTGTATTTTCGACTCTATATGCATGTGACTTTTGCTCTTGCCAGAAAGTGAAGTTTCTTTTTCAAGAATTATAAGTCACATTTTTCAGAAAAACAAGACAAAATTTCTCTATAGTGCATTAAAATTACCTAACCTATATAATTTTTAAAAATATTTTTTAATTGAAAAGTCAGATATACAGAGAAGAACAAAGACAGAGAAAAAGATCTTTGTCTAATGATTCAATTCCCAAGTGGCCGCAAGTGCCAGAGCTGGCTAAGCCAATCCAAACTCAGGAGCCAGGAGCTTCCTTCAGGTCTCCCACACCAGTGCTGGGTCATAAAACTTTGGGCCGTCCTTTACTGCATTCCCAGGTTACAAGCAGGGAGCTGGATGGGAAGCAGGGCAGTCATGGATTAGAACCGTCGCCCATATAGTATCGCGGCATGTGCAAGGCAAGGACTTTAGCCACTAGGCTATTGCACCAGGCCCTAAACTATTGTTTTAAAAACCCTGTAAGTCAAAAGGACTGTGTCAGCAAAAATAAACACTGTCCATTCTAAGCATGTCAGTGTCTTTCCAGTCTACCTAAAGTCTTATACTAAAGACAAAAGACATGTTTTTATATGATATATACCTACTGTTCCTACTTTAAAAGGTCAGCAATAAGTTTTGTTCTCAGAACAACAAAATGTAGTAGATACATCTATCATAAATGTAGATGGGAATTGTGAATTTGTAAAATAGTTCTCTTTCTTTAAGATTTATTTATTTTTACCTGGAAGGCCAAGTTACAGAGAGAAGAGACACAGGAAAAAAGAGATTTTCCATCTACTGGTTCACTTCTCAAATGGCCACAAAAGCCAGAGCTGGGTCAGTCCGGGGCCAGGAGTTAGGATATTCTTCTAGGCCTCCTACATGGGTGTAGGGTCTGAAGGCCTTGGGCCACCCTCTGTTGCTTTCCCAGGCACATCAGCAGGGAACTGGATCAGTAGTAGAGCCAACAGGACTGAAACTGGTACCCATAAGGGATGCTGGCACCTCAGTCAAACGCTCAGCCTGTTAAACCATTGTGTAGGCCCTATAATAGGTTTCTTTTTAAGAAGTCCCCAAGGAAGAAATTAAAAACTACAAGTACCTGAAAAAGAAGTTTATTTTGTACATAAAACAATAATTTAGTCTAGTAATACACCAATTTCAATTTCAAAGGGAAAGATAAACACGGAATAATCAAGCATAAATTTATATATCTGAAAGGCAAGAGAAGAAAGTGAGAGAATCTCATATATGCTGTCTGCTAGCTCAGTGCCCTAGTGCCTACAAGAGCTGAGCCAAGACGAAACCAGGACCCAAAAACTCAATTCGTGTCTCCCGTGTGTGGCAGCAACTCTACCTGAGTTGTCACTTACTACCTTCCAGGGAAAACACTGGCAGGAAGCTGGACTCATGAGCAGAGTCAGAACTCAAATCCAGATACTCTGAGACGGGATGCAGGGGTACAAAGCAAGGTCTCAACTGCTAGGCCAAACATCTATCATGAACCATAGATTTCTTTCTAAATAATGCATTTCTTTCATTCTTTAATAAGTGATGCCTGATGTATAAATGTATAAGTCTTTCTCTAAAAGTTTATTTTTAAAATTCCTTTTCTAAAAAAATTTAAGTAAAAAAAAAATTCCTTTTCTTTCCACTTCTTATAAAAACAACAACAACAACAAAAAAAACCCAGACTATTACCTTGGTAAGTAGACCCGAAATTCTGATTTTGAACTCTAAAGCTAGACAAAAGGGAAAATGACAACAAAAAGCAAAAACAACTATGCAATCCTGGATGAAACGGTATCCATTGGTATCATCACCTGACACCATGCTCTGTATATGGGAACAGGTACAAAAACAACCTTCTATTCTTTTTTTTTTTAATTGAAATTCTGGCTCCTCTGCCAATGAGGTCACATGACCCAGTAGATCACACGGTAACCAAAGTATCTGTGGCAGGCAATGATGTCCTACAGAGCTGCTGACGGGCTCATATGGGCAAACCATAACGCAGAACTTTCGATTTTGGCGGGAGTAATATCATCCTCAGCAGACAACTATCACTTTGTTCTTAAGAAAGTGGTCCTGCTTTTGAAGGAACACCCAACTGAAGATCATCATGTTACCATCTGAACAACCCAGTAGAGCTGGAACTTTGGCTCAACTAGCTAATTCTCCACCTCCACATGCTACAATACCATATTGGTGCTGGTCTGTGTCCCAGTGGCCCAACTTCCGAAGCAGCTCCCCGCCTGTGATTTGGGAAAGCAGCAGAGGATGGCCCAGTGCCTTGGGACGTTGCATCTGCATGGAACACCTGGAAGAAGCTCCTGGCTCCTGGCTTTGGATTGGCTTAGCTCCTGCCATTGAAGCCACTTGGGGAATGAAGCAGTGGACAAAAGATCTTTCTCTCTATATCTCCTCTCTGTATGTCTGCCTTTCCAATAAAAATAAATAAATCTTAAAAAAAAAAACAATTCACTATACTAGCTGGACATTGTCTGACTCATCAAATCATAAAACTGGGTGTGTACAGCAATAATCTGTCATCAAGAAGGGTGATATATAAGATTAGTGTTATACAAATCCTCTGCAGGCATATACAAGTTGCAGTTGCAGCCAGGGCTACATAACATTCTTGAATCACTGGACAGTGAAAAGCTGAACCACTGCAGCCTCACTTGGAAGTGACCTTGAAGAAATGTGATAAAGAAAAATCTACACAGTTTGCAGAACTTTCAGCCTAACACCCAGCTACCTCTCTTCCCTAGAGGCAGAGAGGATAAAAACCATGGATCTTCAGCTGAGCTCCATATTCACTAACCAATGGATTGGCTGGATGGTCAGAAAAAAGACTTGTGGGAAAAAAATGTGTGAACACATCACTCCAAACAGGCAAAGAGGTGAAGATATTTGAGGACACAATGTGAATGTTCATGGAAGGACGCGTAAGATTATAATAATCAGTAGGCAAGTGGCCTGCTCTGAGAATGTAAGCATCTCTCTCTAGTCATCCCTGACTTCACTGATGGCTTACTTTGTGAATGATTAGGGGAAAGAACAGTCTCTGCCAAATAACGGTGCCCAGAAAATCAGATATTCATTGTAAATAAATGAGATTAGATCCCTATCTTAAACTACTCACAAAAATTAACTTGAAATTAATGACTTAAACATAAAATTGAAAATCATAGGGTGTGGTGTGATAGCCTAGTGACTAAATACTCGCCTTGAATCCGCTCAAATCTCATATAGATGCCAATTCATCTCCCAGCTGTTCCACTTCCTTTCCCATCCAGCTCCCTGCCTGTGGCCTGGGAAAGCAGTCAAGGATGAACCAACGCCCTGGGACCCTGCACCCATGTGGGAGACCTGGAAGAAGCTCCTGGCTCCTGGCTTTGGATTGGCTCCAAAGCTCCAGCTTTTGCAGCCACTTGGGGAGTGAACCAGTGGACGGAAGATCTTTTTCTTTGTATCTCCTTCTCTCTGGATATCTGCCTCTCCAATTAAAAGAAAAATTCTAAAACTATAAAACTCCTAGAAGAAAACAAGGGGGAAAAGCTCTTTGACTTTAGTCTTGACAATGATTCTTTGTGTAAGACACCGAAAGCACAGGCAAACAAGGCAGAAATGCACCCTGAATACACATCTCAAGAGGAACTTCTATTTTCATGTATTGGTTTAAGAGTCATTGGGAATCATCAAAAATCTGCAATGGGCAGTCAGCTAACAACACAGACACTTCAGGAATGAAAGCTTGGGTTACTTCACTGAACTGGGAATCATGACTAGCTGAGATGCTTGTCAAAGGAAATAAAAATGTGCAATGGAACATCAGTTATAACCACATGAAAAGTTTAAAAAAATGAGGTATATTGTAATTCTCAGAATTTTTTACTTTGAAATAAAACGTCTGCATATACAGACTACTAAATTGTCTGTATCCCATTATTTTCCTTTTAAGCATTTATTATCCTTATTGAAAAGGCATATTTACAGAGAGGAGAGTGAGAGAAATCTTCCATATGCTGGTTCATTCCCCAAATGGCTACAATGGCTGGAGCTGAGCTATTCTGAAGCCAGGAGCCTCTTCCACGTCTCCCACACAGGCGTAGGATCCGAAGGCCTTGGGCCATCTTCTATTGCTTTCCTAAGCCAACAGCAGAGAACTCGATGGGAAGTGGAGGAGCCAGGACACAAACTGTCACCCATATGGGATGCTGGCGCTTGCTAATCCTCAGAGGATTAGCCAACTGAGCTACCATGCTGGTCCCTCTGCATCCCATGGTTAAGGCCTGAATTGTGTTCCCCTCAAATCCACACATTAAAGCCTAACCCCTAAATAGATTTTGAGAAAGGGCTGCTAGAGGGCAGCTTACAATATAATACAGGATTTGAGAGTGGGGAGAAACAAACATTTCTACTACTAAGGTCACTCAGCCTGAGAAAAGTAGGACACGGCTTACCCATCACTCCCCATATTCACACAGAGGGTTTCTAGACCTCAGTATCACTGCACCTAGGGCTACACACATCTGGGTTTTGGAGTCAGCTTCCCGCACTGAAGGATGGTCAGCAACCCTGGCCTTTGTCCACCAGATGCTGGTAGCACTGCTCCTTCTCTTCCCAACCCTCTCCCCAAGCAAAAATGTCTACAACACTGTCAAATGTCCCCTGGGACACAAAATGACGTCCAGGTGAGAAGTACTAATCCATTGTAAGATGCATCAACAGATGCTGGCATTGTGTCTCAGTATTTAAGTTCCAGGATGTCAGAGGAGGAGTGTGGTTCGGCTAGGAAAGAACAAACACTCCAAGACGAATAGAGAGAACCAGTGTGAGGGGCAGTTATGTCCTGTTAGGTGAAGGCACAGTTTTACCCTTGTCTTCATTCTGAAGCTGAATACAGCAGTGGAGGGTATATATGAACGCAGGTGACAATGGATAGACTGCAGGGTTTGTAAAGTGACAACTGGGTTAAGCTGGGAATCAGGTTTCACAGAACTCCCTTCTCTGTATATTTCTAACTTGCAGTGGACCAAAACAGACCAGGCCCTGCCTATGCTCTGGCGGGCAGGAGGAAAGCAGTGGTCATTACTGTCTGAAGGTCACCCTTGTGGAACACTGACAGACTGACACCACTGCCCAGCGAATCACAGATCTGTTCTGTTTTGCTTTGTTTTGTCTTTTTAAATATTTATTTTTATAGGGAAGGCAGAGATACAGAGAGAAGGATATACAGACAGAAAGATCTTTCATCCACTGGTTCACTGCAGTGGCCAGAGTAAGCCGATCTGAAGCCAGGAGCCAGAAGCTTTTTCTGGGTCTCCCACATGGTTATAGGGTACCAAGGCTTTGGGCCGTCATCGACTGCTTTCCCTGGCCACAAGCAGGGAGCTGGATGGTAACTGAGGCAGCCAGGACACAAACTGACACCCATATGGGATCCCAGCACATATAAGGCAAGGATTTAGCCACTAGGCTACTGCACCAGGCCTACAGATCAGGTTCTAACACTGTTTTCTTTCCTTTTTTTTTTTTTTTAAAGATTTATTTATTTTCATTGGAAGGGCAGATATACAGAGAGGAAGAGAGACAGAGAGGAAGATCTTCTGTCCAATGGTTCACTCCCCAAGTGACCACAATGGCCAGTGAAGCCAGGAACCAGGAACTTTCTCCGGGTTCCCCATGTGGGTGCAGTGTCCCAAGGCTTCTGGGCTGTCCTCAACTGCTTTCCCAGGCCACAAGCAGGGAGCTGGATGGGAAGTGGAGCTGCCAGGATTAGAACTGGTGCCCATATGGGGTCCCAGTGCATTCAAGGTGAGGACTTTAGCCGATAGGCCATGGCGCCGGGCCCCTAACACTGTTTTCTACCTACTGATCCTGGGTGCAGACTTTTGAGTCAAGAGTACCCTTCAGAGCCTTCCCTGTGGCTGTGCCCCGTCCCCTCTTCTGCCACTGGCAGTTAGACACCTGACTTCTCAGGTTGGGTCCACTGAGTCCCGTCTGCATCTCTGCTTATCTAGCTGCTTTCACAACTGTGTGAGGCCTGATTCCGACAAGCTGTCCAAGAATGTTCATGAATGACGCTGCTGCCAGAACTGGGCCTGACCACGCAGCATGTGCACAGGACACACACACTTCTCTGTCACTCTCGGTTCTCGCTTCACACTGTGTGATGAGGAACCAAAGCAGCTCATCTTCCTTTACACAATCTGCACATTCCCCCATCATTTTCTAATTGGTAAACAAGTTAGCCCAGATCAGTAAACACAGCGATAAAATACCTCTCAGTTTTCCCTTAAAATGATACTTCCAATGTTTACTACCCTTTTCTTTGCATGCCACTTTATGAAGACATTCCCAAGCAGCAACCTGTCTTAGACTAAAAGCTGCTAAATGTTTGTAAGAGAATTTCTCCCATGGTTAGTTTTATATTAGACAAAGTGCATCCAATGACTTAAAATACAGTCCTGTATGAGGTGGGCTTTTGCCACAATGGTTGAGATCCCTGGGGGATGCCTGCATCTCCTAGCAGAGTCCCAGTTCTATTTTTAGCTCCAGATTCCAGCTAGTGTGTATTCTGGGAGACAGCAGGTGACACCCCAGGCACTAGGATTCCTGCCACCTACGTGCAAGGCTTAGCCCAAGTTCAAGGCTCCTGGTTTCGGCACAGCACAGCCCTGGATATTGCAGGCATTCAGAAAGTGAATTAGCAACAGAAGACCTGTGTGTCGGTCTCTCTTCCATTTCATAACATCATAGATCAATATTTTTTAAAATATACAACTTTGGGATAATTCAATTTTTTACAAGACAGAAAGCAGTTTTGCTTAAGAAATTTTACCTTCGTATTCTTTATAACAATTGGATAGTTCATCCCTGAAAAAAAAAAAGACCCATCTATAAAGATTTATTTTTAGCAAAAGAAGGAGAATGCTACTAGAAATAGTATACTAGCCTCAAACTTACCTGCTTTTCTTCTGTCACAACCTGTTTTCTTTCTACTTTTTTTTATTGTGAAGCATTTTATGAAGTAACAGAATTATACTAGTTCATACTTGACATTACTGAAACCTCTGGCATGTTTTTTCTGGCTTGTTCTATTAACCTATGATTATAAACTGTTTCACATCTGAGCTCCAACACAGAGCCAGTTTCTCCTTGAACTCTAATTCTGAAAATCATGTTGAACACTAGTTCATAATAAATCAGTTATTTTCCCACAGGGCTAATGCTATTACATGAGAAGCTGTGTCGTAGGTGACCGGATTCCTTGCAGGTTTTGTGTTACTTAAAGAAGCAAGGTTATCACCACACACAAACTTCTAATATTAAGCTAAGAAATTCATTTCCACTCAGACATGTGGGATTTCAATATCTTATTAAGTACATGCACTGCAAATAAGAAAACTTCTACATGTTTTAGAAATCAGATTCATGTTACCTACTGATAATAACAGCCATAAGTATTTCAAAAATGGCTCATTATCTTAGGATGTAGAATGCCACCAGGAGAATGGCCTAGATCTACTTTAAAATCTGTCAAAGAAAAAACAAACACTACTTTTTTTTTTTCTCCTTCAGATTTCCCAATAGCAAACAGATGCCTTCCAAATATTCCATCTGATTAAAAAAATAACATCCTCAAAACAAAAGAAACTCTAAGTGCAGTCTAAAACAGGGGGTGTTTTGAATAGCTGAGTCATTTTACAACCATGGGTTGTCCTTTTATTTATTTTTTTTATTAAATTATTCATTTAGTGTTGAGCAATGTTAGGTGAGTTTGTTTGTTAAGATTTATCCATTTTTATTGGAAAGACATACAGAGAGAAAAGAGACAGAGAGAAAGATCTTCCATCTACTGGTTCACTCCTCAATTGAGTCAATCTGAAGTCAGGAGCCAGGAGCCTCTTCCAGGTCTCCCACGTGGGTATAGGGTCCCAAGGCTTTGGGCTGTCCTCAACTGCTTTCCCAGACCACAAGCAGGGAGCTGGATGGGAAGAGGAGCAGCTGGGACACAAACCAGTACCTATATGGGATCCTGGCGCATGCAAAAACAGAAATTTAGCCACTAGTTTGCCCTGCTGGGCCCTGGGCTGTCCTTCTGAAACATGGTGTTTCCCAAGGACAAGTGCTGTAGTTAAGGTGCCACCTGCGACACCTACATCCCATGCTGGCATTTCATCTCAAGTCTTGGCTGCCCTGCTTCTGATCCTGTTCTTTTGCCTCTGGGAAAGCAGTGAGTGATGGCCCAAGTAACTTGGACCTCCATCACCCACATAAAAAACTGAGATGGGTTCTATGCTCGTGGCACAAGCCTGAAGCAGCCTTACTTACTGCAGTCATTTGGGAGTGAACTGGTGGATTGAAGATTCTTGTTCTCGTTCTCTCTCTGCCTTTCATGTAAATAACAATAAATATCAAAACCAAAACAAAAATGGATAAAAAATTTAAAAAGGTTTATTATTCCTATATCTCATTCTACATTGTTGGTTTTGTTTTTTCAGTAAGTATTGGTATTATCAAAATTGCATTTTGAACAAATGATGACTCCCCAGTCTATTGGGAAGTGTTTGGAGGCTATTTGTCCACAGTCTTCACAGTTCAAATTTTAATGCCAGTTAGAAGCAGCTGATGAATGATGAACACCTCATTCGATCAGCACAGGACCTTGGAGGAGTCCTCATCTCCAGCATTTAATCTCACATGTACTCCTTGTATACTTACCTCTGGCTCTTAGGCCTGTCCCAGTTGAGCTCCTGGTGACCTTTCCATTAGCACCAATCCAGAAAAAACAACCCCAAAGTTTTTTGTTTTTGTCTTTTTTTTTTAAGTCAGAATTTTTTTTTTTTAAGCATTCAATAGAAAAGACAAGGACAGCTTACCAGCTTCAGCTCCTGAAGGGTTTTCTTTAGCCATTTCAATATCATTTACTTCAAAATTGGTTAAGACAGAGCCACCTGCTTGTTGGAAATCATGTGCAAATGACAAAGCAACCTGCCGATAGTCCACAATGCCAGTATATGGACAATCGATGGCCATTAGACCCTGGAACAGAATTATGACAAAGTCAGGATAAGAAAATGAATCACTGAGGTTAGCCCAAAATTCCATTTTTTGGTTGAATACTTTTACTTGTGTATTTTGACTGATAACATATTATTTGTGCTTGACAAAAATCTGATACTCTTTAAGAAAAAAATAACAGAAAAGTTAGCCCTTTTAAGTGTTCAAATGTGATACTGACCGTATACATGAGTGATAGATAGGAGAAACAATATAATCTAAACAGCATAATTTCTGCCAAAAAAGATACTTTTCTCCTTAGGATAAGTAACTTCTATAAGGCTTTCTTTTAAAAAAAATTGTATTTATCTCTTTGGGGAAACATGGAGAAAGAGACAGAGAGAAGTCATTCATTTACTGGTTCACTCCCTCATTGCAATCTGTAGTCAAGAGCCTGAAACACAAGCGAGATCTCCCACAGGGGTTGAATGGACCCCAGCACTTCAGGGGTCACGTGCTGTCTCCCAGGATATACATGTATAGGAACTGGATTTGGAAGTGGTGCCACACTTGAACTCGGACACTCTGCTGCGAGATATGGGCATCCCAAAGTAGAACAGTAACCACCACACTAGATACTTCCCCTACCCTTTGTGAGGCTCTTTTTGCTGTCACAAGTTTTTTTCAGTTTCATTCATTCCTACCCATTTCTGATTCTGAACAGAATCATACCTGATTCTGAGGTCTAAACAAGGTCCCTGAAATTTTCCCAGTAGTAAATCTATCAAGCACACTTCGGGGGAACTCAGCAGAGTTATTCATGACATCCACATTTGCAAACCAGTGCTTTGATTTGCTATATCCTGTTTCTACTTTTTTATGTAAAAAAAGCAAATGAATAATCTAAAACCTGTAGAAGAATAATCTAAAACCTATGTTAATTTTATTTTTTGGAACAAATTTTGAATGTAAAATCTGTCTGTCCTAATTCTGAAGAGAAAGACAAGAGCATAATTTTATATACTACATATAGACTACATTTTGGTGAACCTTGGTAATAACACAATTCCTGCAGCCTTATTTCGTACATCAGTCTCACAGCTTCTCCCAAGTGGATCACTCATGTGTAGAGGCTGGGTGCAGCTGGTAGACTCGGCCACCCTTTCATCTATTTTAAAATACTTCATCATCCTATCCTTCCAACAAGTTATGTGCTTGGCCCTGTTCACTTTGCCACTAATGAGTCCCACTTTGCCACTTTGCTGACCAATGAGTCCCAGGCTGACCAGCTCACACTAATGGTAAATTAAACAACTTTCTCTCTGCAAACTGGAAGAAACATCTGGCAAAAACATCATCATTTTCCCGATAGTCCTGTTTGCAGAATATGCCCGCATGTGTTAAGTGTAAAAAATTGTTCCTTCTGTTTTAATAAGCTGATATGCACAACACTTCACGGTAGCCTCAGTTACCATCCCCAGACTTCCCAAGTTCACCAGTCAATATCTATAACCCAACTCTAACCTATAAATAACATTTTGGCTCCAGTAACTATGGAAGCTATTTTATAATTCTAAGTTCAAGTTTAGTCCATGATAACTTCCAACAACTTCTTTATGCAACATAAAATTATGTGAACTTTATAGTAACAGTGGCTTAAAACTGGACTTCGGGACTGGCACAGTAGACTAGTGGCTAAAGTCCTCACCTTGCACACACCAGGATCCCATATGGGTGCTGGTTCTAATCCCAGCTGCTTCACTACCCATCCAGCTCCCTGCTTGTGGCCTGGGAAAGCAGTTGAGGACAGCCCAAAGCCTTGGGACCCTGCACCTGTGTGAGAGACCTAGAAGAGGCTCCTGGTTCCTGGCTTCAGTTCGGTGCAGCTCCAGCTGTTATGGCCACTTGGGGAGTAAATCATCAGATAAAAGATCTTCCTTTCTGTCTCTCCTCCTCTCTGTATATCTGACTTTACAACAAAAATAAATAAATCTTTAAAAACAAAAAAACAAAAAAACCTGAACTTCAAACAGTTTTTTGGAATCCCAAATATCTTTCTTAGTTATCTTATGCCCCATTTCCCTGCACAATGCCCAACTCCCAGGTTGTATTCATATTTACTGAGTGAATGAACTCAGCATCTGTCTTTAAACATGCTTTATTCCCCTCCTCCAGACTTTCCCTAAAAGGCGTTCCTTCTTTTCCTAATCTTGGAAACTAGTGTTTGCTTGCCTCACCCATCCATGTGTGTTGGGAAAAAATGGACACAGCCATTTCTACGAAGCAATCCAAAGTCCTATCCTGGGCCGGGTTACAGCAGCCAAGTCCAAATGGAGCTGGAGGACACGGCTAAGCCTGCCAGTCAAAAGGCTGGCCATGCGCTGTTCAGGTCAGCAGGTTAGAGCCTGGAACCTGAGACCATGGCAGGTGAGGCCGTGCCAGGTGAGGTGACTGAAAAAGAAATCAGGCAAGCAGGCCAGGTAAAGTTGGGAGTACAGCTCAGACAGGAAACAGGAATGGAAGGGTGTGAGTAACCGACAATGTTAAAGAAAAGGTAGAAGAATCGGCAACACCAGAGTCAGAGGCACAAGCTGGGTCAGCTAGGGTCGACCTGGAAGCGAGCAGCCAAGATTTATCCTTCGAAATCAAAGTGAGAGACAGTTTAAAGTCTTCCAAGGTACTCTTCCCAGGGGAACTGAGCCTTCTTAAGGGGGTCTGGGCCAAGAAGACCTTTAGAGCTGAACTAATAAACTTCATTCAGAGAGCCCTGAGGAATCAGAAACATCCTAGTACCATAGAGATTTTATCCACTGTGGTGAAGAAAGAAGAGAAGAGAGGAATTCCTGCAAGGCACCATTATGAAATAATTGACTAGAATCCCACTATCTACAGCTACCCCGAAATACAGGCAAGCACTCATGATGACAAGCTAGCGCCACACACAGGATGCACCTTCCAGAAGCTCCTTTCTTTCCCCATCCTTCCAGGGAGGAGCTGTCTGAGATTTTCTTAAACCCTCAGACTAAGCTGAAAGTGCCTCCTTACACTGGCACAAGACAGTCTCAGCTCTGCCAAAATACTTCCACATCTAAAATCTGAAACTAAAACTAAGTTTCTTCAGGTTGACAGTCATCTTAGCCAATGCCCAAAGGTAGTGTCTGGCCCGGGGTAAACAAGAACATTTTGGTTAAATTGAATACGGAAAAACAAAACCAAACACTACTTAGAGGCTGTCAGATCTTGGGAGGCAACAACCAGATTCTCCATTTATAGGGAAACAGGTATCCACGTATGAAGTGATTATTAGCCCACGCACACAGACCTCATCCACCTCATTCGCAGGAGCCGTAACAATCACATGGTTAGGTGTTCAGAACAATATCAGTCTCACCCTCAACCTTTGCAACAGATCAGAAGTTGGTTTTGTTCAACAGTAAAGCATGATTCAAAGAACTGTGGGATCCTATGCTTATCTCCCCCGTCCCTTTTTTAAAAATCTTTTTGATAGTAATCTTCAAGTCTGAAAAAGCTTTTCATGAACAAATAAAAATATGTGATGGGGTAGGCACTGGTATAGCAGCTTAGTGGCTGCTTAGAGTTCCCACATTCCATGCCAGAGTGCCTTTGCTTCTGATCTAGCTTCCTGATAACTAATAACTTTGGATGGAACAGAATATGGCTGAAACACTTGGAATTTTGCCACCAAGAGACCCAGATCATGTTTCTGAGCTCCTGGTTTCAGCCTGACCAAGCCTCAGCTGCTGTAGGCATTTGGACAAAGAACCAGTAGATGGAAGAGCTCTGTCATTCAATAAAATGAAAAGTTGTAAATAAACATGTATGCTAAAAGCTGGAAAAAAAATTTTTAAAAAGAGATCTATTTGAAAAACAAAGTGAAGGAGATGAAAAGAGACAAAAAGGCATGGAAGGATCTTCCTTCCACTAGTTCACTCCCCAAATGTTCCCGACTTCTAGGGCCGGACCAGGCAGAACCCAGGAGCTGGAAGTTTGATCTCCCATGCAGGTAGCAGGAACTTAAGTACTTGGGTCATTACTTGGCTGCCACCCAGGCTCATTAGCAAGAAGTTGCATTGGAAGGTGGACCTGGGCTCAATCCTGGACACTGTGACATGGATGTATGCATGCCAAGTAGCAGTTTAACTCACTGTCTCACAATATTCATCTGGAAGTGACTTTTTAAAGGAAGTTATAAACTGTTTTATTTCTAAAGGTCATATTTTAAGGGAACATGTTAGGGAAGTTCTGACACCTTAGTGTCACAATCAAATTTCATCAAATCACATAAAGGTATGAAACAGCAACAGGTTTAGTATGCTTTCAGAGAGCACTTACGAATAAAATTTATAGGAGGCCCTGGCATTACAGGACAGAGTCCCTCCAGGAGGCCCCAACAGACCAGACCGAAATGGAGTCACTCATGCTGAAAATCCATGTACAATCAAAACTTTGTTATGTGACTTTCAAAGGAATCGGGAGGCCAAATTCCCAAATAGGTCAAGTTTAGCCAGGATGGTAAGGAAGTCCTCCTGGTCTTAAACCTACAAGCAAAATAACTTTGGAATGATCAATCCGCTATTTATTCTGTTTCCACTTGCTCAGTCATATCTGCCTCTACAGCCAAGCTTCTCTGCTCTCTTTTTCTAGTATTTGAATGAGACACTTTCCTATTCATGGATTATTAATAAATAATGATTTATTGTGTCCAAACCAAATTTACTGGTGCCAGTGTTGTGGTGCAGAGGTTGTGACGTAAGTCACTGCTTGCAAGGCTGACATTCCCTAGTAGAGTGCCAGTCTGAGTCCAGTCTGAGTCTTAGCTGCTCCGTTTCCTATCCCACTTTCTGCTAATATACCTAACAGGAGATGGCCCAAGTACATACTTGGACCCCTGCTCCCTATACAGGAAACCAGGATAGAGTTCTTGGTTCCTTCCTGGTTTTGGTTTGATCCAGATTTGGCTGCTGCAGCCATTTGGGAAATGAACTAGAAGATGGAAGATATTCTCCCCTCTGTTATTCTGCCTTTCCAGATAAATAAATCTTAAAAAAAAAAAAAAAGACGACGACAATGACAACAAAGCAGAACCCAAGATCAACAGAGGAAGATGTGACATTTAACTTTATGTCTGGAGAGATGTAGAACAAATGACTTCATATTCTCCAGGATACAACCCATAAATAATGAGCCTCTAAACTAACTTTTTGTGATGATTAAGTTATTATTCTTGCCCATTTCATAAATTAAGACTGGATGTTCCCCCTTCACACTCAGGCCAGTCTTATCTTTCAAAAGGTGGAACAGACACTGTAATCACCTTCCTCAAAACATTTGAAGCAGCTCCCTGTGCCTACTGAACAGACTTCAAAGCCATTAGCATGATTCCTGGGACCTGTATGGGGTCTGACCCTGCCTTTACAGTCTCACCCCTGTCTTTTCCTACACCCTGGGGCTCCAGTCACATGTCACAACTCAGAGTTTTCTAAGCCTGCTATAAGGCCTCAGATGTCCTCTTGCTTTTGCTTATGTTGGGACAGGAGAAGAAAGTAGGTGTCCAGAATTAATGGCAGTGTCCTATTGTGTCTAACAATGCTTCTACAATGGGAATTACCTAATGGATTTTACATGATTTCTACTTTCTAGCAACACAGGCTCAGCTTCCATGTCTCAGGCCATGATTTTCCTTTGCACATGTGAATGAGGCTATAGAATTACTTACTCTGCAATATGGCTCCTTCTTCTTTATATCTTCTTGCTGGATTAGCCTTAGGCCTCGGACACCATTCTGCAGGCCTCTCTGGTATAGGGCCTGAAGTCTGGGAATTTCTTCTTGTTCAACAGCTACTATAAGCTTAAAAAAAAAAAAGAACAATGATAAAAGACAAAGACACAGATATGAGTTAAATAGATCATCAGCCATGAAAAATAGAGTCAATGGAAAATTAAATTTTTGTATGGTGCCTTGCAAACAGTTCATGCGAAATACCTATCATGAAAAAATATGCATGAACTTTAAAAATCTGTGCACTAATGAACTCATCTTTTAATTCCATTTCCATGAACTTTTTAAAAAAGATGATCTATTTCTTTAACAGTGGATACAGAGATCTTCCATTCCCTGGTTCATTCCCCAAATGGCTGCAATGACTAGGTGTCAGCCAGGCCCAATGCAGGCACATGAAATTCCACCTAGGTCTGCCATGTAGGTGAAGGGGCTCAAACAACTGGGCCATCTTCTGATATGTTCACAGGAGGATTAGCAGAGAGGTGGATGACAAGCACAGCAGCTGGGGCTTGAATGGGTGCTCCCATATGGGAAACTGGTGTTGTATTGCAAGTGGGCTTAACCCGCCATGCCACATACCAGCCCCTCCATGAATCTTCTGAAGTGCCCTCTTATGATTCAAACACCTTTGGTTAAAACTTTTTGTAGTATCTACTTTTCCCTTCCTTCATGACTTCCTCCACCAAGAAAAACTGTAACAAAATAGCATCACAGCAAAGTTTATCCAAAGATAACAGGGCCTCAATTTCCACTTCTGTCATCACCCATCCCCATAAGCCACTGCTATTCCTATTACTCTCTCAGACCCAGAGGAGAGAATTACAGGTTGTTTGGTCTTCACACTTTTTTTTTCCACAACAAAATGGCGTATTTCTCCAAGAAAGAGTGCAATACCAGGATAGCTGCAAACCAGCTGGTGTTCAGTGCAATGGGCTATCATGAGGAGAAATAATTCCTTCATATTCTAGACAAAATTACAAGTGGAACACAGGAGGATGTGTGCAGGTTACATGAAAACATCAGGCATGCACACATAGGAAGTTGGACAGCAGCAGAATGTGGTAGCTACGGGGAGAATGGAATCAGCACGCTCCTCTTTCATGGATACCAGGCCTGGTGGCTTTTTTCTTAAAGATTTATTTTATTTTATTGGAAAGTCAGATATACAGAGAGGAAGAGAGACAGAGAGGAAGATCTTCTGTCCAATGATTCACTCCCCAAGTGGCCACAATGGCCGGAGCTGAGACAATTCAAAGCCAGGAGCCAGCAGCCTCTTCCAGGCCTCCCACGTGAATGCAGAGTCCTAAGGCCTTGGACCATTCTCAACTGCTTCCCCAGGCCACAAGCAGGGAGCTTGATGGGAAACCAAGCAGCCAGGATTAGAACTGGCACCCATATGCGATCCTGGCATGTGCAAGGCAAGGACTTTAGCCACTAGGCTAACATGCTGGGCCTGGGCCTGGTATTATGTAACACATTCTGCTACAGGAAAACAGCAAATCCACCATCTCCACTTAAGAGTCCATCGACTTGGGTATCAGGGCAGCTGCCAGCAGAGGACAGGCAAACATGCCATCACAGCTACCCAAGAATCCACAGTGATTCACAGTGGGGAGTCAATGGAATCTCATGAGGTAATCCCTTTTGTTTTTAAATTTTTGAAATGGAGAGAAAGTATCTTCCATCTGCTTATTTGCTTGCTGAACGCCCTCAGCAGCAGGAGCTGGGTCAGGCCAATGCAAGGAGTCCAGAACTCCACCCAGCTCTCCCATATGAGCAGCAGGGACGCAAACGCTTCAGCCATCACCAGGATACACTCCGGCAGAAAGCTGGAAGAGGGAGGCAGCAAAGTCAGGACTGAAACCTAGGCACTCCAATATGGGATTGTGGGTATCTCAAGCACTTTGGACCAGCCCAACTGTAGTCAGCTGGGGAATGAACCAATAAATGGAAGATGTTCATGGGCTCTCTCTCTCTCTTTCTGTTTCTCCCTCTCTCCCTATAACTTTGTCTTTAAATAAATGAGAATTTTTTTAAAAAAGTAAAACTAGGAGAACAGTTTCCCTTAATTCGGAACTAATAATGAGGAATTAGTCTGACAAAATAAAACTAGTAGAACTGAAAATAACAAAATATTACCAAAAAGAAGTAATGATAAAAATAATGGGAAATTTCATATTCCTGGATTATAAAATTTAAAACAGTTCCCCAAATTGATCCACAGGTTCAACACAACCTCCATCAAAATTTCAACTGTCTTTTCGGACAAAGTGACAAGTTACTTCCAAGATTTATTTGAAAATGCTAGCCCAAAAAACAAAACAAAACTCCAAACACAAAGTTGGAGGATTCATTTCCTACACTGGCATAATAGACAGGTGCATCAATATACCAGAACTGAGGATCCATAAACATTTTTATCCAAATAATTGTTGGTATAAATGGAAGACGTATAATAGTACTCCCTTTATGTACGGTTTGCATTCTGTGGTTCTAGATTCATGCAGGCAATTACAGTCCAAAAGGATTAAATGGAAAAGTTTTAAAATAAGTAGCTGATGAAGTTTCTTAAAATTATTTATTTACCAGAGAGAGAGAGGGACTGGGAGGTTTGGGGGAGGGTAGAGGAAGGAAAAACATACTCCTGCCCACTGGTTCACTTCCCAGATGTCTGTAATGGCCTAGACCCGCCTAGGACAAAGCCAGGAGACAGGAACTCAGTACAGGTCTCCCTCACTAGTGGCAAGAATCCAAATACCTGATTCCTGTCTGCTGCCTGCGTTAACAGGAAAGTGGACTTAGGGGTCAGAGCCAGGAATCAACATAAGTGCTCTGCTATGGGACACAGGCATCCTAACCGGTGTTGGAATTACCAGGTCAAGCAGTTACCTTAAGTCCTACATTCTACATTTCATAGCCCTGTATGTTCAAGTTAACCTTCTTTTACTTACTAAGGACCCTAAAGCTCAAGGGTTCTGGCCCCAAGAACACAAGAAGAGTGAGACTAGTTATTTTGATGTGTCAAGCAGAAGTCATAAAGTTCTGCCTTTGTCATCTCACACTATCACAAGAAGGATGAGTACATGTAAGCTGTTTCGACAGACAGAGACCACATTAGTGTAACTTTTATTGTCACGCATTGTTATAAGTGTTCTTATTATTAGCTGTTGTTGTTAATCCCTTACTCAGCCTAGTTTATAACTTTATTATAGGAATGTATATCCATGGTTTAAAGCATCTACTGCAGGTCTTAGAATCAACACTTTATAAGTGGTGGGGGTGGGGACAGACTACTCTATTATGTATCTGGAACAGATAAAGAATACATACAACTCAGGAACAGCATAATAACCCAACTACAAAATGAGTAAAAAATCTGAATAGACATTTCCCCAACGGAGTCATATGAATGGTCAATAAGCAAATGACAAAGATCCCTAAAATCCATGACCGTATATAAATCTTAAGGAATGAAATTAGCATGTCAAACAGATACTTGCATTTTCATGACTGTTGTAGTATTACTCACAATAGTCAAGATAGTGAATCAGCCTAAAGGTCCATGAATAGATTTCAAAAATGTGGTACATGTACACAATGGAATACTATTTCAGAATTTGTGACAAAATGGATACATGCGTTAAGTGAAACAAGCCAGGCACAGAATCATAAATACTGCATGATCTCACTCGCATGTGGAATCTAAAAAATTGCACTCACAGAAGTGGACAGTGAAATGGTAGTTACCTGGGGTGGGGGCGAGGAGATGTTGGCCAAATGACAACAGCTGGTGAAGAGGATTAAGTGTCAAAGATCTGCTATTCAACAGAGCGACTCAAGCTGGGAATGTATCTCTGCAGATTTCTAAAAGAATACATTTTAAGTGTTCTCACCACAAACAAATGACAAGCCTGCGAAGCAGGCCACATACAAGTTATAAGGCATTTTTAGCCATGTTAACATATACATATTTTGGGCCCGGCGCCATGGCCTATCGGCTAAAGTCCTCACCTTGAATGCCCGGGGTTCCCATATGGGCACCAGTTCTAATCCTGGCAGCCCCGCTTCCCATCCAGCTCCCTGTTTGTGGCCCGGGAAAGCAGTGGAGGACGGCCCAAAGCTTTGGGACCCTGCACCCGCGTGGGAGACCCGGAAGAGGCTCCTGGCTTCGGATCGGCATAGCATTGGCTGTTGCGCTCACTTGGGGAGTGAATCATTGGACAGAAGATCTTCCTCTCTGTCTCTCCTCTCTGTATATCCAACTTTCCAATAAAATAAAATAAATCTTAAAAAATAAAAAAAAGAGAAGGGTGTGGCCTAGTAGCTAAAGTCCTCGCCTTGCATGCACCAGGATCCCCTATGGGCGCTGGTTCTAAATCTGGCAGCCCCGCTTCCCTTCCAGCTCCCTGTTTGTGGCCTGGGAAAGCAGTCAAGGATGGCCCAAAGCCTTGGGACCCTGCACCCGCGTGAGAGACCTGGAGGAAGTTCCTGGCTCCTGGCTTTGGATTGCACAACACCAGCTGTTGCGCTCACTTGGGGAGTGAATCAATGGATGGAAGATCTTCCTCTCTGTATATCTGCCTTTCCAATAAAAAAATAAAATAAATCTTTAAAAAACATATACATATTTCATGTTATTCAGTATATAGTCATACACTGTGTACATGAAGCACAACATGCTGGATGTGAAAGTGTAGATACAATTTCAATTGATCAATTAAAAATAAACCAATGTTTGAAAAGAGAAAAAGATACTGAACAACATCAAAATTGCATTGAGATATAACCCCTTCATATTCAACAGCATGGATAATATAGAAAGGACAGTAACAGCCTGGGGAGGATTTACAGAAATTGGAATCCTCATTAATTTCTAGTGGGAATGCAAAATAGCCAGAACTTTAGCAAACTGTTTGGCAGGTCCTCTAGATGTTAAACATCCTAGGAAAACTCACATTCATGCAAACACTTGCACACAAATGTCCGCTGAAGCGCAACTCATGGGTGCCAGCATTGTGGCACTGTGGGTGAAACTGCCATCTGTGGCAACAGCATTTCACATGGGCACCAGATTGCTGCTCCATTGTCAGTCTAACTCCCTGCTAATGTGCCTGGGAAACCAGTGAAGAACGACCTGAGTGTTTGGTCACCTCTATTCACATGCGAGACCATGAAGAAGCTCCTGGCTCCTGGCTTTAGACTGGCCTAGCTCTGGCTGTCGCAGCCCTTTGGGGAAAGATTTAGCTGATGAAAGATCTCTTTCTCTTTTTGTAACTCTGCCTTTCAAATGCAATAAGTAACTCTGTAAAAAATCCAAAAGTACAAAAACCTGAATTTTTTCAAACAATAAACAAAATGTGGGATATTCATATAATGGAATATCATGGAGTACTGATTCATACTATAATGTGGAGAAGCTTTGAAAATATTATACTAAGTGAAAGAAGTTGTTCACAAAAGGTCACACAGTATATGACTCTATTTACAAGAAACGTCCACAACAGGCCGATCTACAGACACAGAGAGTGCAGTAATGGCTGCTAGGAATTAAGGAGGTAGGAATGGAGGAACTGCCAGCAGGTATGGTTTCTTTGTAATAAAAGTATTCTAAACTTAGTGGCAGTGGTTGCTCAATTCTGTAAACCTATTAAAAGCAGCTTTAAAATGTGAACTACATGGCCTGACGCGGGAGCCTAGCAGCTAAAGTCCTCACCTTATACGCACTGGGATCCCATATGGGCGCCAGTTCTAATTGTGGCTGCCCCGCTTCCCATCCAGCTTCCTGCTTGGGGCCTGGGAAAGCAATAGAGGACAGCCCAAAGCTTTGGGACCCTGCACCTGCGTGGGAGACCCAGAAGAAGCTGCTGGCTCCTGGCTTCGGATTGGCTCAGCTCTGGTCATTGCAGCCACTTGGGGAGTGAATCAGTGGATGAAAGATCTTCCTCTCTGTCTCTCCTCCTCTCTGTATAGCTGACTTTGTAATAAAATTAAATAAAGCTTAAAAAAATAAAAAAGGTGAACTGTATGGGTAAATTACATGATATGCCAATAATGCTATCTTTAAAATGACACGAGGGACAGGCATTGGCATAGAATTAAGATCCGGGGGGAGGTTTGGGGAGGGGAAGGGAAATGCCAGTAACCTATGGAATTATATCATGACATGATAATAATAATAATAAAATGTAAAAAAAATGCAAAAAAAGTTATTAAAAAATCTAATAATAAAAAAAAAGAATTAAGATCCTAGTTAAGACATCAACACCCCATATCTGAACACTTGGGTTTGATACCTTATCTCTGACTCCTGACTCAGCTTCCTGCCAATGAAGACCCTGGGAGGCAGTGGTGTTAACTCAAACTGCTGCTTTCCCACAAGGGAAATTTGGAATGAGCCTCTATCATTCATCTTTGGACATGGGCCTGAGGTCATTACAGGCATTTGGAGAGGGAACTAGCATATAGGAGTACAATCTCTCTTCCTCTCAAATAATTATTTTAAAAAATAAAAAGGGGCTGGCATTGTAGGAAAGCAAGTTAAAACATCGTTGGCAGAGCCAGCATCCCATATGGGTGTGTGTTCAAATCCTGGTTCCTCCACCTCCAATGCAGATCCTGATAATATACCTGGGAAAGCAGGAGAACATCTTAAACGCTCAGCTCCCTGCATGCACTCGGCAGATCTGGAAGAAGCTCCTAACTCCTGGCTTAGCCCTAGCTGTTCAGGACACTCAAGGGATGAACCAGTGGATAGAACACCTTTCCCTCTCCGTCTCTCTCTAACTCTGCCTTTAAGATAAATAAAAATATTTTCTAAAAACTAAACTAAAATAAAAATTAATCCACAATCATATTTTCTTTAAAAAAATTTATTTATTTTCATTGAAAAGGCAGATATACAGAGACAGAAGGAGAGACAAAGATAAAAATCTTCCATCCGCTGGCCCACTACCCAAATGGCCACAGGGCTGGAGCTGAGCTGATCCAAAGCCAGAAGACAGGAGCTTCCCCAACGTCTCCCATGTGGGTGCCGAGGTCCAAGGCAAGGCCCCAGCCATCTTTTGCTGCCCTCCCAGTGCACAAGCAGGGAGCTGGATTAGAAGTGGAACAGCCAGGACTCGAATCAGCATTCACATAGGATGTCAGCACTGCAGACAAAGCACTAGCTTGATAAGCCACAACGCTGGCACCACAATCATATTTTTAAAAAGTTATTTGCTCATACTGGATTTTACAAAGTACACACACACAGAGGGAGAAAAAGCCAGGTATTTTTAAAACTCAATATCAATATGAAGGTCAGTTTTGAATAAGTCAAGGCCCTCGTAAATGCCATACCTTGCCACACTGCTTGTAGGAGATTCCCTTTTGGTCACAGTACTCATACATGAGGGCTGCACCTTGTACACATAACTTAGCTTTCAGAGATTCAGGTTTATAATAAATTCCACTATGAATGACCCCACTGTTATGTCCAGTCTGGTGAATGGCTACAGAACAAGAGAAATGGGTAAGAGAAGGAACTTGACTCAGACAAAACCTACAAGGTGAGAACAAACTTGGAGCTGAAGCTTGCTAAGAGCTTATCACTCACATCCCGCCTGAAATCCCTCAGAACACTAGCAAGTTTCTCCAGCAGCCATCCCTCGTGCCCATGTCACACTTCTCTGGCCTGGTTTCAGCCACAACTTTGGTGCCACACACTCACTTCTAACTATTAGCAAACCACCAAAAGACCCTCTACGGTGATCCGAGTTCTGTCCCAGGGCCTTATCTAACATTCTGGAGGCAGGGGGCGCCACATACTGGGGACAACCACAATCCTCAAACATCAGAGCTAGATGCCCCACGGCTTCTCAGAGGTCCTGCGGAAACCAAGCTCCGATAGGCCTAATACAGCCGTTCCTCTCTCCCAGTCTTAACTCTCTCCACACCCCAACTCCTGTCTTCTCACTTAACCTCTCAAATGTTATCACCCACACCCAAGGCCATGTGCCAGCCTCTGCCTCTGGAAGAACTCAAATCAAAATCCTAACATTAACATTCAGCTCCAAAGACTCAGAAGCGACAAGATGAGTGGGTGAACAAATCGGCCTGGAGAGCAACAGTGACAGCATACATACCTAAGTCCTTCTCCTTTTCCACAACACCAATAGAAAGTTCTGGATGCCGCAGGATAAGTGCTCTGGCAGAAGCAAGCCCCACAATTCCACCTCCGACAATGACTATGTCAAATGAGCTTTAAGAGAAAGTCACTGTTAAGTACATGTGTCCACAGCAGGGCTCACTGGACGTCCCCAGCACAACAGTCAGCATCAGAACTTCCACACAATTAATTCATAACCAAGTACATATTGGGTTTGGAGCTATTTGGCTTCACACTCATGTTCTGCTGATTAACAGATTAATCATAAACAAACCTTTAAAATTAATATACACTGCTGGTCAGGAGATAAACAGTAGGAGGCCATGGGCAGGGAGGGAGATGGCTGCTTGCCCACGATGTCTTACGTCCTTATTATTCTCAGTCCTTGGCTGGTTATATGTGAATGATCATGTTAAGTGTCAGATTTTATCATCAATTCTTTCAAAACTGAAAGGTGGAATTCTGAACTTTTACACCCTTAATACTTCAGTGTGTAAAATTTATGCCTTTTTGTTGTTGTTGTTAAGAAGAAAACTATAGTAAGAAAGTAAAATCTCAGGGAGATAGCTGGTCCAGAATGGGCCAGAATCACAACTTGGATTGTACAACCATTTGAAGGATTAGAAAGGCCATGCGTAACTTAAGTACTTTGCAAAGAGAAGCTTGAAATATTACCTTTAGCACTGACTTCATGCTCAACAAATCCAGATCTTACAGAAACAGTAGTCTGAGGGAAGGTTCAGAGATTAGACCCTTCCTTTGAACAGTGAGGTAAATTTCAACCTCAAAATCCTTAGCGGAAACACATCAACCCAATTACAAGTGTTGTCACAACTGTGCCTGCCTTGGGGCCCAGAAACAGCCTGTGGACATTTAGGGCCTAACCTGTGAGTTTGATACATTAAATACTATATGTTAAGCTAATTTGGGGGGGGGGTACATAAGATTTCCTCCCTTTGAACATACAAATCATAACTCAGCCAGGGATAGCTTTTAGGCAGTGCTTGACAGGTAGTTCTCTGTAGCACTCTTGTACAGTGGTATAAAATGATTACCAATGAACACATGTGATGGTGAACAAGGCCCAGTTAAGAATAGAGGGTACAAAGTCAGCAGAATAAGTGAAACGGGATTCTGGGTCTACTATATTAGTAGTGGTTATTGGTAAATGCTTGCAGCAGTCAACAAAATCACTACTGGTAGGAGCAGAGTCCAAGGTCCTAAATGGGTTTTCAAAAACATAAATCTCACTAGACAAAAGATAAAATACTCATATTCTGTTGCAGTTACAATGATTTACTCACCTTGACCCTTTTTACAACTGGCATAATACGCAAATTTTTTAGGAACACTATTCAGTGCAGCTTCCGAGAATTCCACAAGCCTAACTTGTTAAAATGGGCTTTACATTCTACCAAACTTTCCTAACTTTTACTAAGGCAGATTTTCAAAATAGTTACCAATATTGAAGCTACTGATGTGCATGACTTAATCTTTTATTTGTCATGTATTTATTTATTATTGAATGGCAAGAGAGAAGAGAGAAAGAGAGAGAAATCCTCCAGCTGCTAGCTCACACCCCAAATGGTCACAATAGCTAGAGCTAAGCCAACCGAAAGCCAAGAGCCAGGAGCCTCCTCTGGGTCTCCCACACAGGTGCAGGGGCCCAAGGACGTCAGCCATCCTCCGTTGCTTTCCCAGGTGATAGCAGGGGTGCTGGATCTGAAATGGGGCAGGAGGGACACAAGCCAGCACCCATATGAGATACCAATGCTGCAGGTGGAAGACTGGCCTGGTAAGGCATGGCCCTTAATCATATTTTATGTACTTCTTTCCTAATCAAGATAATTTCCACATTGACCAATAAACTATAAATATCCCTGAAGAACAACCAAGCCCACAAAAGGAAGGGGCATGTGTGTCTTACATCTTCTCTAATGTTCTTTCTTATTTCCAAGTTAGGCTACATTGCTTTGGTTGGCCTGCAAGCTTGCTTCACTTTTCTGAAAAAAGTAGCACAGCCTCATATCTTGCAGGAGTGATCCTGACTTATGTAACAGTGTTTCTCATCCTTGCTGCCTTCTGGTAAGTAAAACATAAAACCTTTTGGTGGGAGCAGGTGCTTAGTTAGACTGGTGCTTAACCCACATCCCACACTGGAGTACCTGGGTTCAATTCCAGGCTCATGCTTCTGCCTTCAGTTTCTTGCCAATGCAGACCCTGTGAGGCAGCAATGACGGCTGAAGTCCTTGGGCTCCTGTCACCCACATGGCAGATATGGATGGAGTTCCTGCTCCCAGCTCTGGCCCTGGTCTAGTCCTCATCATGGTAAGCATTTGGGGCTTCAATCAGTGGATGGGAGTTCCAGGGCTGTCCATTTCTCAGTTTCTAAGAAATAGAAACAAAAAACTTGGTGAGGCAGTATATTTCCTCTGTTACAGGCTCTTGATTTTGCACATTCTATTGTAACCATTAATCAATTTTGCATTTTTTAAAAATATTTGCTTTTTATTTGAAAGGCAGTGACAGGGTGAAATGGAAATATAGAGGGAGAGAATGGGAGGTTGGGTGGAGAAACAAAGATCTTTTTTATCCACTGGTTCACTTCCTAAATGCTCATATCTGTCAGTCTGTGCCAGGCCAAAGCCAGGAGCCAAGAATATAATCTGGGTTTCCCACATGATTGACAGGGGCCCAGATACATGGGCCATCTTCCACCGTCTTCTCAGGTACATTAGCAGGCAGCTGGATCAGAAGAGAAGGAGTCAGGGCTCTCATCAGCAATGGTGGTATCACAAACAGCAGCTCAATGTGACGCACCACAATGCTGGCCCCATGCATCAACTTTCTAGTTCCACACATAAAACTATATATGCCACCTTCCCATCCTGAAATCTGAGAAATCACTGTTCTGCCTAACAGCATGAAATCATGGAAGGAGGCTTCCCAAATGGAAGCACAAAACTCCAAGCAGCCAATAAAGACGCCCAGAACAACAGGAGCCAGTGAGCATCCAAGGCCTTCTGCAGGCCAAGCTAATGGGTGGTGCACAAGGGCACATCTTCTCAGCTCAGCCTTAAGCTAGCATCAATTTATTTATCGGAAAGTCAGATATACAGAGAGGAGGAGAGACAGAGAGGAAGATCTTCTGTCCGATGATTCACTCCCCAAGTGAGCGCAACAGCTGATGCTATGCTGATCCGAAGCCAGGATCCACACGGGTGCAGGGTCCCAAGGCTTATGGGCCATCCTCGACTGCTTTCCCAGGCCACAAGCAGGGAGCTGGATGGGAAGTGGAGCTGCCGGGATTAGAACAGGCGCCCATATGGGATCCTGGCGTGTTCAAGGCGAGGACTTTAGCCGCTAGGCCATGCTGCCAGGTCAAATGGATTACTTCTTAAAAGCTTCTTATTAAGGAAAGGTTCACGCTGTCACAAAGGCAGACAGCAGAGGACAATGACATGTCCAGCATCTTCAGTGACCATCACCTCATTACACACCCCAGCCATTATACTTCACCTGATCCGCTCCGTCCTCTATCACATTTTGGTGTAAATCCTGAATATTGTTATTTCATCTATAAATACATCAAGGGTCTATGTCTAAAAGTCTCTTTTAAAACGCATACTGAAGCCAGTGTTATGGTACAGAAGGCCAAGGCACTGCCTGCAATGACAGCGTTCCATAAGACAGCTGGGTCACCTCAGCCTGGCCCAACCCTGGCCTTTTTGGCCATTAGGGGAGTAAACCAGTGAATGAAATCTCTCTCTCCCTCTCTTAACTATGCCTTTCAAATAAATTTTTAAAAAATGCTGTAACTAAAAAATAGTAATAATCTTAATATAAAATACTCAAGGATTCTAAAACAGAAAAAAAAAAAACAACTTTGGGACCTAGTGTTGACATTCAAATAATACTCTGATACTGCCCAGTGCGAATAAGGTTTTTTTTTTTCCTCCTTTACTGTGTGAAGTAACTTCCTTGAGATGCTGTAGAAAAAATACTATGCCAACCGGTTCCCGGGTCTTTCCTCCCGTGAAGCCCCCTCCTGTCACTAAGACAGGAGCCCTCTTTCTTTCATAAATAAATTATACTTTGCAAACTAAAATATATATATATATATATTCTGGAAAACAAAGAATTGGCTAAGAGAGGCAGTCAAGATTGGGATAAAACAGTTGCATCCACATACCTGACAACAGACTCATGCCTAGCATCTGCCAAGGATTCCCAGAACAAGCCCTTCAGAAGGAGGACTACAGCAATGAACATATTTCATCAGAGCATAAACATACAGATGGAGAGCAGATACATAACAAGATGCAAATGCCACTAGTTCCTGGATTACTCAAACATCATTACATTTAAAATAAAAATGTGACAATAAAAAGTGCAGGTGAGGGTGAGGAGAAATTGGATCCCTCCCACACCGCCAGTGAGACTCAACTAGGATGAGCTCTTGGCTTTTACCTCAGAGACCAAAAGTCATGTGTGTATTGAAACCCACCCACCAACGCTCACGGGGGCATTCCTGAGGACAGCTACACACTGCAAACAGCTCCAGGGTCCTCCTTCTGAGCAAGGATCCCAAATGCAGACCATGAAATGCTACCCAGCAAGGAAAAGAATCCTATTGCCAACCTTGCCACCATCTTGGATGGATCTGAAGAACACCGTATTTGTAAAAAAAAAAAAAAAAAGAAAAAATTTAATTTTAAAGGATTATTTACTGAAAGTTTCCATTTATACAATATGACAAAATTATAGTGAGGTACAGCAGAATAGTAGCTGTAAACGGTCAGGAAGGCAAGGGGGTCAGACAGTAGTGTCAAGGAATCCAAGGCATGAGGAATTTCTTTGTGTGGGCAGAATGCATCATCTAGATTTTGGTCAGAGTGGGGTTAATGCAAATGAGCACATACGGTCACAGCACAGAACTGCACACAAACGTGTGTCAATCAGACGAAAACAAAGTCTGCAGACTCTCAGCACCACATCCTGACTTTCCTCCTGTGCTACATACATACATGCAGGTCAGACGTCATCACTGGTGTAAATGGAGTGAAGGCAATCTACCACTTCTGTACTCTTTTGCAACTTCTAGAATAATTTTCCAGGTAAAAAGTATGTCTGAATCTTCAGCAATCATACCCTTCTTCTGTCCATACACCCCCAGAGCCACAAAACTACTGCCAGCATCTCATTTGAATGCCTCTCTAACCCAGTAGCTCACAGTAGCCTGAGGGAACTTTGGAAACACCCACCTTCATCACCCTTCCTTTTTAAAACAGCTTCCCAGGGCTCTTACGCTAACATTCCACGTGCGGTTAAAATACAACCAAAACCCCCATTCCTTCAAGGCTATCTGCACCTTGCACCATCTGGGATCTGGAACAGCCACGCTCCCTCCAACCTGTGCACAACCTTTTCCTTCCAAGAGAGAGCAGAGAAAGCATTTTCGAACGTGACCTCCACAGGACACGGCATTCGGCTGATTCTCATTAGCAACTTCGCTGCTTCCACAAGGTGCAGTGCGTTCCAGCAGCGCCCCACCGCCAGCAGCACCGGGGACACCAGGTAATAAAAACAGCGGATAGGCGCGCTTCCTATCAAAACAACTACATATCAGGGAGACTCAGCCCCTCTCCACCACTGATCCCTGTCGGAGCTCAGGGACCGCCCGGCACTGCGGGGGGCCTAGGTCTAGCACCAGGCGCCCCCCGACTAGCGCAGTGACGGCGGTAGCCTAGATGGCGAGGGCGGGCCAGCGGCCACTCACCTGGTGCTGGCGCTGCGACCACCCTGGCGCAGCACCCAGAGCCTCCCCGACGCGGGCCCGCACGCCCCAGGGAAGCCCAGGCGGAGAGCCCCGAGGGCCCGTCCGCGAAGCCCCCTCACATAACGCAGCAGTGCCACCATCGCCTGCGCCACCCGCTCCGCCTTGCCTTCCTCAGTTCCAGGGAGGGCCCTGGCTGCCTGAGCACGCCTCTGCCCCGGTGCGCGTGCTCTGCGGGCCCGCCCCTCGAGCAGGCGGCCAATGAGGTGCGCGCCGGCGGCCCACGTGGGAGGAGCGCGCGCGCGGCCGAGGGCGAAGGGCAGGCGGGGGCGCGCCGTGGACGCCGGGGGACGCTCGCCGGCCCCGACGCCGTGAGTAGCGGAGCTCGGCCGCGAGCGGGGCGGCGTCGGTGCGGGGTGGTGCCGAGGCCTGCTCTGCCCCTTCGCCCATGGCGACGCTGGGCCTGCTGAGGACCCGGCCCGCCGCGCGCCCTCCACCCTCCGTGCCCGAGCGGGAGGACGTCTGGGTACGGTTGCGGTGACAACTCTTGCTTGGGTGTGTCCGGCGGCCTCTCTTCGCCGCGCGCCCTGTCCTCTGCGGGCGGCGGGGAGTCCAGTACCGGACGTGGCCCGGCGCTCTCGGTCTCCGGAGCTCACCAAGCAGGGGCCCTCCGGACGGGGCACGGCCTCTTGGACTTGCGTGTTCCTTAGTGAAATGTTTTCTTAGACACGCGGCACAGGGGCTCGGCCGTGCGAGGCGCCTCATTTCTCTTTGCTTTACGTGGGGAGCGAGGGCGGGGCACCAGTGTAAGCTCTAAAGGACTTTCTCCTGAACTTTGATGGTTTTTCCTGTCAGCGCGCCGGTTGAACTCCCGTTTTTCTGTGCTTTGATGACCTTGAACGAGATTGAGGTCCCTTTGCTCAAGTTTGAGTCCCAGGTCCAGTCCTGAGCAGGTGGCCCTGGGAAGTCTTGGGTCCCCTGTCTTGGGTCATCCTCAGACATGTGGCATCGGTGTTGAGCTAAAATAAGAGTATAGATAACCTGCAATTCTATTTTGCTTCCCCCTCCCCCAAGTGAAAACAATGTAGAATGTTGCTTGCTTATCCTCTGTCGCAGTTGGGGAGATGGAGGGAGATTTTCCAAAAATGCAACTTTTTGAAATTACATACAGTTGTAACTAGAAGTCCTGTATCTTTTTTCACTATCTCCTCATTGATAACATCTTGCAAAGCTGGAGTGCAAATATCACAATCAGGCTGCTGACATTTGACAGACAGCACCCACTGATCTTAGATTTTCCCAGCTGTCCATGTCAACATGCATCGTGAGATTACACATTATCGTGTGTTTTACTTTTGGATACATCGCAACAGTCCCGACAGTCAAGATGTAGAGAGGACAAAGAAAAAGATGCAGCAGTTTGATCAGAGTCCCTCCAGCTGCCCCGTGAGGACCACAGCTTCCCTCACTGGCCCTCGCATCTTGCTGGCTCACACGTTGTCGTCTCTAGACTTACCGACCTGTCCTGGAACAGTGGTGTAACTTCCCTTGTCACTTTTCGTCAAGATCCATCCAGGTTGCTGCCTGTGTTCATATCAATAGCACATTCCTTTTTATTAATGAGTTGTACCACAGGATGCTTAATCACTTACCCATTGAAATACATTTGGAAAACCAATTCCAGTTTTTTAGTTGTTAAGAATAAAGATGTTAAGAACATTAGTCTACAGCTTTTTGTGTGGATCTGTGTTTGTTTTTCTACAGTCAGTCCCAAGTTTCCAGTTGCTAGGTTGTATGGTGAGTATGTTTATTTAAAAAAAAAATCTTCAATAACCTACTATCTATGTGATAGCCTAGTGGCTAAATGCTCATCTTGCATACCCTGGTTCTCATATGGACGCCGGTTCCTGTCCCAGCTGCTTCACTTCCCATCCAGCGCCCTGCCTGTGGCCTGGGAAAGCGGTCAAGGACGGCCCAAAGCCTTGGGACCCTGCACCCACGTAGGAGACTCAGTAGAAGCTCCTGGCTCCTGGCTTTAAATTGGCTCAGCTCCAGCCCTCACAGTTGCCTGGGGAGTGAGCCAGCAGATAGGAGATCTTTCTTTTTGTATCTCATTCTCTCCATAAGTCTGCCTTTCCAATAAAAATGATTTTTTTAAACTTCAGAATGTATTTATTTATTTTAAAGGCAGAGTTGCATAGAGAGAGGGAGAGGCACAAAGAGATCTTCCATCCATTTGTTCACACCTCGAAATGGCCATGATGGCCAGGACTTGGGCAGGCCAGAGTTAGAAGCCTAGAGCTCTGTCCAGGTCTCCCTCATCACTGGCAGAGGTCGAAGCATTGGACCATCTTCTGCTGCTTTATCAGGCACAGTTACAGAAAGCTGGAGATAGTGGCATTGTGGTGTGGCAGGGTAGGCCTGTGGTGCTGGCATCCGTCTGGGTGTGAGTTCGTGTCCTGGCTGCTCCACTTCCAATCCAGCTCCCTTCATACAGCCTGGAAAAGTAGTGGAGGATGGCTTAGGTTCTTGGACCCCTGACCCCATGTGAGAAACCTGGAAGAGGTTCCTGGCTGCTGGCTTCAGATTGCCCCAGCTGTAGATGATGCATCTGTTCAGGGAGCGAACCAGCAGATAGAAGATCTCTTTGTCTCTCTTTCCCTCTGCAAATATGCCTTTCAAATAAAATAAAATAAATGTTTAAAGAGCATAAACAGGAGCTGGACTGGAACTGAGGTAGCCAGGGCTCATGTGGGATGAGCAGCAGTTTAACCCACTGTGCCAGAATATTGGCCTGGTGTGTCTAACGTTGTAAGAAAGTGCTTAGGTCTGTTTGCACAGCAGCTATGCCATTTTGTATTCTCAGCAGCTGTGTTTAATGAAGTTCTTGTTGCCAGCAGCGTCCCACATCACGATTTTGATGCTTTAACTGTTCGAATAGGTATAAAGTCGAGATGGTTTGTTTACACTGGATGCAGTTGATTTGAGACCACCTTGAACACAGAAGTTCACACTTCAGGGTCTATGGTCAAGCCTTTGAGGGCCCTCGGACTTGATTATATTTTTTAAACTACCCTGTGCTTTGAGAGTGTGTTTCCTAGTCCTGTCGATGAGAAATAACTCAGGATACTCATGCTCGATGTCACCTTTCTCTGCTTGACTCCCGACTCTGAGGTTTGACTGCCCCGTAGCTTTTGTCAGGTCATTCCAAATCGGATGCTTACCTTGTGGTCCTGCACCTGTGTGCTCAGCCTCAGCACTCAGTTCCTGACCCAGCCTTCTTCCTGCTCCCTCTGCTGTCAGCCCAGAGCCCGGGACAAGTTCAGCGAGTGCCCTAAGAAGTTCAGTTTGGCCTAATTGCTGCTCTGGGGACCTTTCATTCCATCTTGATGGATTTTTCTGTCTGAGTAGATTTCACACACCTTGAGAATATGGATTAGAATCAATAATTGATGATTTACACTGGAAGAGTTTTGTAATGAGGGAGAAAATCCCATGGTGATGGCTTTCCACTTCTCTGCCCACAATTTGTTGCCTTAAAAAACTCAGTTATTTTTGCGCCCCCCCCCCAATTAACCATCACCTTGAATAGCCCCATTAACTGCATTGAACATCTAAATGAAAATTTTTATTTTGTTGAAAACAATTTACCCTTTTTTAAACAGTGCAGATTTTATGTAGTTCATGGATACAATTCTAAAAATATACAGTTAAAAAATGCCAGTTTAAAAGATTAGTGTTATGCAGTCTTAAAATCCTAGATCAAATCTAAGGAAAAAAGTACTTTGTATAGCTCCTATTTTGAGTAACACATTACCAATTTAGCCTTCTCTAAGTTACAAACATAATTGCAATTTTAGAAACATTGGTGCACATTTGTTGACATAAGCCAAGTTCTGACAGGTTTTGGTTTTTGTTTTCGTGATTTGAATTCCTAGGTTATTTGTGGCAGCAGCAGTTAGCAGTGGCTGTTTCCTAATTCACTTTCAACTGTTTGTTTGCCAGAGCAAATTCTGCCAACCCACCACTAGAGGATGCCTCATCCCCAGTAGTGCTGCTTGAACTCGCCCAAGAAAATGGCAATTTCAAAATCATTTGGCCAACTTGCAATTGAGAATGTAAAAAGAAAATATTTTTAAGCTTTTATTATCAAATATAAATTTAAATTTTCCTTTTAATTAATTTTAAATGTAGTATCTAGTGCTTTTATAGGTAACAGTAGAAATAAATGTGGCCTTTTCTTTAAACTGATTTATAAAGGTGGGCCAAAATTAATCAAGTAAGACTAGTTAGTTTTCAAAAACCACCCATATTCATGTGCTTAGTAAGTTTCTCTGATTGGCCCGTATCCATGGAAATGTGTCAACCATTGAAGACGACGGACACTTATTACTTGTTATGCTCTGCATACTTGTGGCTTTCTAATGGGAAACTTCATAATCATTGTCTCGGAAGAGCCACGTGACCTGAAGCCTTCTCCTCCTCCCTTCTGTGCTCTCTCCTGCTGTTTTCCTCACCTCTGTTAAGGTGCCATGCTGCATTTGCTTATTTCTGTGTCATCTGTTGTCCTCCCGAGGCAGTATATTCTGTGAGGACAATAATCAGCTCTTCCTGTTTCTTCACACACACTTGTGGTGTGTGTGTGTGACCATTATTTCCTTTCAACTAAGTTCAGCATTTAATAAACATTTTTTCAGTGAACCAATGAATGAATAAATGGACATAGCATTTGAGTAGGGACTTGAAGTTGGCTAAGGTGTCCACAGAGAGTCCACAGAGATTAGTAGGGTGGAGGGCTAAATTAAGATAACAGCCTGAATAGGAGCTGGGCAAGTTGTGAACAAGTTTGGCATAGTAGAGGCAGGAGCAGGTGGAGAGAACTTAACCAAAGGAAGGGTTGAGAGAGTGAGGAGAGGTAGCAGGGCTGGGCAGGTGGGTGGGTAAGAGAAGAAGAAAACCATGGGTGCTCCCAGGTGCTCCCCTGAAGCCTCACTCCTCACTGTCCCCTGGCTTCAACCTTCCAGTCCTTCTCTGAGCACTGAAGGGGTTCCCATCAGGAAACTTGCTAGTCTTTCTCTTGCATTTGAAGCATCTGATGGAGAAAAGGGCCCTGGGCTGGCAGGAGAAAGACTTGGGCTCATGTTTCAGCACTTCGCCAATCAGCATGAAACATTGAGCAAGTTCCTTTAAACACATGTATTTTTTAATACCCACCTTGTCCCGGAAGGATTTAGGGTGTCAGCCAGTTACTTAATCTTCAGTTTCCTCATCTCTAAATGAGAGATTCAGCCTAACTACTCTACGTTCTTCCCAGCTCTAACATCTTATGTCTCCAAATCCAGTGATTTGCTGGTCATCTCCACCTAGAATTCCTACCAATAGCATATGGAGAATGTAAAGAACTGCACTAAAACTGAATCCACAAGCCTGATGTTGATTTTCCTGTTAGCATATCAGTGTCCTACCGGTGGCCCAGGGACGAAACTTAGTGTCATTGTCAACTCTGGACTTTCCCACACATGCTGTTGAGTGGAATGGAATGTACTGGCAATGTCATTCCCCTCCCTGAGTAGGCCCTTATTGATTAGCCTCTTCCTGTTAATCCTCACTCTTGCTGCTGCTTGTTTCTGTTTAAAAGGCAGAGTTAGAGGGAGGGAGGGGGAAGAGATTGTGAGTGAGTGAGCAAGCGCTAGTTTCTATCTGTTGGTTCATTTCCCAAATGGCCGCAATTCCTTGGATCAGGGCAGGCCAAAGTTACGAGCTTCATCCAGGTCTCCTGCGTGGTTGACAGGGTCTCAGGTGCCTGGGCCATCTTCCCTTGCTTTCCCAGGAGCATTGGTAAGGAGTTGGATTTGGAAATGGAGTAGCCTGGACTGGAATCAGTACTCATCTGGGTTGCTGGTGTCATAGGCATTACAAACATCAGCTTAATATACTGTGCCACAACGCCAGCCCTGCGCTGGGTAAATTTTCTAAAGTACAGCTCTAATAGTACCAGTTCTAAGACTTTAGTGGCTCCCAGCAGAGCACACACCAAACGCCCAGGCTGATGCTCAGGGGCCTTTCCTGACCTGATGGCAAGTCGCCTATGCCCCTCACATGCTAAACAAGCTGAACAGCAACCTGCTCAATGTTCCTGCCTCTGCAGGACTGGGCAGCATGAAACTTGATGCCCTTGGCTCTTGAAGTCTACCCTCTTTTTGTTTCAATCTTGGAAGTCCTCTCTTCCTTATTTTAATTCTCATGCAGTTGTGTCATTTAATGACTTTGTGGCTTGCCTTGGGCCCCACTGCCCTGGCCTGCCCTGCCCTGCCCTGCCCTGAGTTTTAAGCTGGCGGGTCCTCGAAGGCAGAGGCCGGTCTCCATGTGTGCTTTCCCAGCACATGCACACTCCTAGAGAAACATGAACTGGGATCAGTCAGATGGACACCTAGAGCAGAAATCACTGTCTTGTCCATGGCTATGGATTTCTACAGCTGGAAATCGTGTGAACAAATTACCTCCTTTTACAAATCAAAAAACCCAGAGTCAGAGATGCGAAGCCGCTGGTTTCCTTTCTCACGGCTCTTGCAGTTCCTGGTTTTGCATGGCTCTCCGGACACCACTTACTGCCTTGTCATGATAAGATCCATTCTCGTGTCCTCTCTCCTCCTGGGTGTGAGTGCACTGCTGGCTAGGTGATTACCTCTTGCCATGTTGACACCGTAGTGGAGCTTGGGAACAGAATTGGCTGGTGGGAGCTCATTTGCAGTGCCACTGCCTGAATGGGCACTAGGTGGCCATACTGAAGGTGGACTCTACTTGCAGTTTCAACTGTGGACCCTAACGCTAGCACTGGGAGAAATCTTAGATACCACCCAGTCCCACCACTTATCTACAGCAGAAGCTGCCTGCCCTCTTGCCCTCCCACCTGCTGCAAACAGAGACGGGAGTGACACAGGGATCACTGAGTAGCAAGTGAATCAGCAACTTTTTGGCACAAGAGCATTGACCATGAGGTTGTGAAGTGAATATGTGGGGCACGTTGACTGCCAGTCAATCATCTAATGTGACTTCTGTTTTGTATATTTAGATCAAATGATGCTGTTGCAAAAAATTCCCCAGCAGTTATGCGGCTTAAAGAAATTCCCATGGTCATGTGACTCCAGATACTTCTGGGGCTGGTTGAATGCAGTGTTTAATAAGTAAGTTACTCCCAAGTGAAGAAAGGTGGGATTGTTACAATTGATGAATTCCCAGTTGTTTCTCTAATTTTTATTTAAAGTTGTTTTGAACAATGTGTGCAGTATGACCCGAATTTTGCATACAGACAAAATATGCACATGAACATGGGGAAAAAAAGACCAGAAAAAAAATACATTACAAAATATTAAATATGACTGCCTGAGTCTTACAATTTTAATGATTTTTTGTTTGTCCTTTGGTCATCCTTTAGTTGTGTAAAATGAGTATTAATTTTATAACCAGGAAATCTGTCTTTAAAATATTTTATTTGATGCTTAAGACACAGTTATCCTTTTGAATGCTATTAAAGACATGCATGTTAAAGCATGAGTAGGTACCAGGCTTTAAAAACTTTAGAAACTGATGAAACAGACCTTCTCTTTGCTTAATATATCATTATGAGCACTAATGCAGAAAGAGACCGGTGTAAAAATTAATAATACTAGTAACTGACATTAATCTGGGCATGGGTCCAAAATATTTCCTTCTTTTATCAGCTGCACAAATGCTAACCCAGTGTTGTCATTCGTTTAATACACAGTTACCCAGTGTCTGGTGTGTTAAACTCTGTCACCCATGAATCACTGAAGACTCATATGTGGCTGGTCAACTCATAAAAATAACATGTCTTGACAGAGTTTGCTTGGAAACACTAATAAAAGCAAAAAGTTAACAGGCAGGGCTACAGTTTGGTTTTTACTTGAATTGCAGGCATCTCACTGATACATTAGCAGCCTCTTAAGTCCTTTCACAGTTTGTGGCTGTTTTGTATTTATATTGGCCAGTATCACTGACACTAGTGATCCAATAAAAGTGTACTGCTTCTGTTCTCTTGTCAATAGAGTGGATTATGAACGCATCAAAGATGTCGGCCCCAACAGGGCTGCCTCCGAGTGGCTGCTGCGCTGTGGGGCCACGGTGCGCTACCATGGCCAGGAGAAATGGCAGAAGGACTACAACCACCTCCCCACAGGCCCTCTAGACAAGTACAAGATCCAGGCCATCGATGCCACCGACTCTTGCATCATGCATATTGGATTTGATCACCTAGGTACCTACCCTGTCATTGTGCTTGTAGGGCATGCCTGTGACTCACTGGTAGTTCAGGGAGGTGCTTTTAGCCCAATTCAATACTATCAAGTTTGTTCTTGCTCTGTTATTTTCCTTTTTAAAGATTAATTTGTTTACTTGAAAGACAAAGTGTACAGAGAGAGGGAGCGGCAGAGATTGATCTTCCATCTGCTGGTTCATTCCCCAAATGGCCACATCAGCTGGAGCTAGGCTGGTCCAAAGCCAGGAGCCTCCTCCAAGTCTCCCACGTGGGCACAAGGGCCCACGGGCCCAAGTACTTGGACCATTCTTCATTGCCTTCCCAGGTGCATTAGCAGGAAACTGGATCGAAAGTGGAGCATCCAGGACACTAGCTGGCACCCCGTAGGACCTGTTATTGCCACAATGCTGGCCTGGCCTGTGTTAATTTCCAGTGAAACAGAGTTTACAAATACCTTCTTGTCCCTCCTGCTACTAAACTTGTTTCTAGATGCCTTCATGTTATGGATTATTCACTTAAGATTCAAGCCCTTGTTTGTCAAATGTCTCCTGCTGCTGAGAAGCCCTCAGTGCATGCAGCAGTTATTCCCTCTGCTAGTGTGGGCTCTCTCCTGCAATGCACAGGGCCCATCTGCAGCGCTACCTCTGTGGCTACCAGGCTGAGCAGTCATCCCAGTGTTTGCTGAGCTGGGAGGCTTCTCACTGCTGGAGCCAGGCAACCCTGGGCAAGCCCAAACGTCTTCCTAACGATAAATCAGGTTCTTAACTCTGTTTTTTATCCTCCCTCCCCCAGAGGGCCTCGAGCATGTTGAAAAAATCAGGCTATGCAAGTGTCATTATATTGAGGATGACTGTTTGCAGAGGCTCAGTCAACTTGAAAACTTTCGGAAGAGCTTATTGGAACTGGAGATCATTTCCTGTGGGAATGTCACAGACAGAGGCATCCTTGCTTTGTGTCATTTAAGGTGGGTACTCACAGCCAAACTGGAAGCTTGATAATGATGTTAAGGCAAGTGAACACTTAGAATTTAAAACAGCTGAAAGATGGTGTCATTTTATTTAGTTCTAAAAATAACTGCAGTTTTTATCTGGAATACTTTAAGACAACAGTTAAAATGATCAATTTTATATATATTTTATGCATTCTTGGGCGCAGCATGGTAGTCCAGTGGCTAAATCCTCCTTGCCTTGTATCCACTGGGATCTCATATGGGGACAGGCTCATATCTTGGATGCTTCACTTCTCATCCAACTCCCTGCCTGTGGCCTGGGAAAGCAGCAAAGGATAATCTAAAGCCTTGGGACCCTATACCTACGTGGGAGACCTAAAGAGGTTCCTGGCTCCTGGCTTCTGATTGGCTCAGCTCCGGCTGTTGTGGTCACTTGGGGAGTGAACCAATAAAAGGAAGATTTTTCTGTCTGTCTTCCTCTCTGTATATCTGCCTTTCCAACAAAAATAAACAAATTTAAAATATATTCATAAAAAGTTTTATTACATTCTTTTTGAGGCTTTTAAAAAATTAAATCTAAATGTTATCTGCCACAATAGGTCCTCAGTAAGCCTTAGCTGTTAAGTTTCCTCTCCATCTTTTAAACTCATTTTCCTAATGTTTTTACTATTTTCATGACATCTGTTGACATGTAACTATGCAGTTGTTTGGGGTGAGATGCTCCCGTCTCTGGAGCCAGTAACACTGCCCTTCACTTTAATGAGTGCCCTAAGTGTGCCTCTCCCAGCTAGGAAAGCTGCTGTCCATCCCTTCCTACTGCCGTCCAGACCTGTGCCACTGCCCAGAGCAAGCCACTCAAACCCTGACGGGAAAGCAAGGAATGCTTAATTCTAAAATTACAAGAATCTTAATCTTACCAGAATGTCAAAGAAACATCATTTACTTCAATCCCAATGTTCAAATTCTGACTGTAGTTAATATGGTTCTGCTTTAATGTGTCACAAAAGGATCTGACAATAACCTTGGCATTATAGGAAGTCTGAGACGGGTAAACACTGAGACCAAAAGTACAAGGTTGTGCCTCTCTTACGTTAGTTGAGGCTTTAGAGCTTTTTATTTTAGTAGAAATGAGTAATATTAAGAACTTGCCTACTTTTAGGGTGGATTAGTTATGTAATTCTTATGCAAAGAACAACTGTACCATCTCATATATGTAGATGAGAGCACTTAAAAGTTCATGGAATTAGACATTTACTTTGGTATAAAATATTTCTTGAAATACAAGCATATGAAAGGTCTTTAAAAAGTTTATGGATATTATGAAAACTTACGAAAAAAAACTATCGATGGCTTTCAAAATCTGATTTATTCAAAGAGCACAGCTCACACACTAAAGGTATGGGTGATATGAACATATTCTGCATGTAAAGTTTCCTGCAAGTGAATAATTAGAGTTTATTTCTTAATTCTATAAAATTTTTAATTCTATAAATGTGAAAATTTTTTTCCCTTTCTATTTTCGCAGAAACCTCAAGTATTTGCTGTTAAATGATCTCCCTGGAGTAAGAGAAAAAGAAAATCTTGTCCAAGCCTTTAAAATAGCACTGCCTTCTCTGCAATTAGAATTACAATTGAAGTAAAGCAGTAATATTATCAGTAAGTGTCTTATTTTAGTCAAATTGCTGACCCTAAACAGCAACAAATATTATGTAATCATACAGAACTATGAAGATGTCATGTCCTGGCATTGTGGAACTGCAAAGTCCTCTCTAGAAAACAGATGACTCCCTAAAGCTACTAGGTTCAAAAGGAGATCTGTGTACAATGAATCGGTTTAAGAAAATGGAAATGGTAGCATTTTAATTCTGATATCTTTCAATATTTAATACAAATACTTATGTAAGTATCATGTAGATAATGATTAGATAGTATAATATGGATATTTATCATGTCTTTATTTTACTTTCCATTTGTGGAAGCATGTTACTGTTAAGTGCATAATCATGACAAACTAGAACCCACAGTACAGATTCACTAAAGGAGTTGTATATTCAAAACACTGATGGTGGCTGAGGCATACATTTCATATGGCTTCCAGGGTCTGCATGCTTTTCTCATGATCTATGTGTTCTTAACAGCGTATAGATTTTCTCAGAATAAGTGCTTCCTAAGTCCATTTTATAAGCTTAGGTTAGTTTTTTTTTTAAAAAGATTTATTTTATTTATTGGAAAGTCATATACAGAGAGGAGGAGAGATAGAGAGGAAGATCTTCCGTCCGATGATTCACTCCCCAAGTGAGTGCAACGGCCGATGCTATGCAAATCCGAAGCCAGGAGCCAGGAACTTCTTCTGTGTCTCCCACACGGGTGCAGGGTCCCAAAGCTTTGGGCCATCCTCGACTGCTTTCCCAGGCCACAAGTGGGAGCTGGATGGGAAGTGGAGCTGCCGGGATTAGAACTGGTGCCCATATGGGATCCCGGCACGTTCAAGGTGAGGACTTTAGCCGTTAGGCCACGCCACCGGGTCCTTAGGTTAGTTTTTAATGACAGTTGGACAGAGGTACTTGTCTGAGTTCAGCATTGCTTCTGATGGCAACAGAACAAACACTAAAGACCAGCAGGTTATGCTTTTTCCTGAAGCTAAAATATGATTTCATAATAAATACTAATACAGTTTTTCAAACAGAAAAATGAATTTGTTGTTTTTGGAAACCAGCTTATGCAAATAGTACACAGCATATAATTTATAGCGTTTACTAACATAATTACCCCCATCATTCAATACCATTGGCAAACAGAAAACAAAGGCAGGGTTGTAAAACAGCGTCATGTGATAGAGTGTGATTCCATGCCTGAAGAAAAGGATTACAGATATAGTTAAACTGAACATAAACTGATCAGAACTCACTGGAGAATGCCGAGCCCTTTGTTGTCAAGTTGGTTTCATTACTGTGTGCTGACATAACTATTCACTATGATTCAGTGCAGAGCTTCGTTTCTGTTCTGAATGGTTTCCTGTAAAACTACCAGGTGCTTTGGGCAGCTATAGTCATCTGCCTCTGTCAAGTGCATTTTCTTGGGTTAGAGGAAAGACAAATACAAGTGTTAACTATTTGTAGAAGCTGGGTATGCCTCCCTGTCATTGCATCAAGGTTGCACAGTAGGAATTAAATTACACTGGGACTATTCCTTAATCCACTCTGAGGCTTATGCTGTATGAATTAAGGAGCTTGAGGATGACATTAAACAAACTGGGTGTCCCAAATTACTAGACAGATGCCAGAATGTGGTGGACTACCCAGCAGGAAGTGAATGGGACCCAATACTGTCATGAAGAAAATGAGCCCACAGGAAAATTGGAAGAAATGCAGAAGAAAGATGTTTTGAAGATGCAATAAGATACAACTTTGCAAACCATGACTGAGAGCTACAAGGAAACAGTGGCAGCATATGGCAGCAGAAGTGGTATTGATGTGTAAGAAACAGACATGGAGTCACGTTGCCCTTGTGTCCATGGCACAAGGATGAAAAAGCTATTGAGCAGTAGGCCAAATTAAAGCCAATTATACATCATCAACTGAAGTCTTACTGTACAAGCTTAGGATCCTCAATAACATCATTTAAAGCTTAGTAGTAAAATATTACTTGGCAAGTAGGATATATGTATACATATATCTGTGTTGAATATATGTGTTGTACACACACACACACACACACACACACTTACATTCAATGTAAAGATGTTTCAAGGAAAACACAAAGTTACATTAACATCCTCATGACTCAGAAGCTCAGATGAGGTTCCTTCCAAAGCCCTAATCAGTATACACAGTTCTACCTGCAGGTCTGTCTCCAAGTCTGAGGCGGAGCCAGAGAAAACAAAAGTATTAATTATGTTCAGGCTGACAGGTTCAGTTCCTGCAAAGTCTGTAGGACTTGTTCTCCTTGACCACTCAGGTCAGCTGCCAAGCTTCATGCCACTGTTTGCCAGCATAAATGGGTCAGTAAATGTATGGATTACAGTCCATTCTGTCTGCCAGGCTGACCAAAGGGGGGGAAGAGGAATAGGTAAGCAGGATCATCAAGCCCATCAGCAATGAATTATACAGTGCCTATGTAATCCATGCGATTTTAAAGGTTTTAAACAGGTATCCAAAAAATGTTCTAAAGAGTAGAAATTAAGAGGCAGAAGAAAGGGAACTTAATCATTTTGATTTTAGGAACTAAAACGCCCCTTCAATTTGATGTAGAGACGACTTGAACACAGGAGGTAAGGCTTAGGGCCACAGCATCCGAGGACACCCACCTGAGCATTCAGTGGCCCACATTTCACATGGGGCATGTGATGTAAGTGAAATACCAATCTTGACACCATTTTACAGGCATATGAGCAGTAGGTACAGTTAATACTCTGTCCATAAACTTGGTTGCTTAGATAAACAAAAATAAAAGTGCTTTTCCAAACAAATCTTTCCTTTCTGTTCTCGACACCCTAATCAAGCATGGAACAGCACATCTGGAGTTTCCCTCCACCTCTTGCCAAGTGGCCTCCCAGTTGTTTGTATTTTTTCCTGGTGTGTTCCTAACATTGTCACTGTTTTCAACAAAATGTGTAACATTCTTTTTTAAAGAGTGGATCAATTCCTTCTTTAGCAGTAATCCCCTAGCTGCTTAAATGTTTGGAAAATGGTAATTCAGTTTCTTTGTGTTACAGTAGTACTTCTTATTGTCCAGAGCTGGAAGGATACTGTTGTTGCTGGTTAGCTGGGGTAGGTATTGTAGCTGAAAAATGTAAAACACAGAATTAGGTTAAAATGGTGGCATGCCAAGCATTTTGTTCATTTCACAAGCATTTGTTCATTATTTTCACTACTAAAATACTTGAAATTTTTGAAAAATATTTTCATTTTATATGAAAGAGACAAATAGATGTTCTATCACTAGTGCATTCCCCAAATCCCCTCAACAGCTGGGCTTGGCCATATGGAAGCCACACACCCAGTGAGTGGCAAGGACCTAGTATCTTCGCCGTCATTGGCTGCCTCTCAGGATACACGTGAGCGGAAGCTGGGTAAGAAGAGGATCAGGGACTTGATCCAGGGAATTGTGATGCACAGTGTGGATATCCCAAGTGGCATACTCACTGTTACCGGGCCCACTGAACCCCTCACAGCAGAAAAGATGAGGACTGAGATTTTCAGGTAACCTGCCCACTTACTCCAACAACAAAACTACTTGAAGTTTTCAGAAATGTTTGTACTGTTAATTGCAAGTGAAAAAGAGTAACATGCATTTTTTTGTGTTGCACTGTATGGCCTTGAATGTGAAAAGAGGACAATTTTAAGTCCTTTAGGACTTAAATAAATACACCAACTAATGCAGCTCTCCTCTCCAGGGTTTTTTTTTTTTTTTTTTTTTTTTTTTTTTTTTTTTTTTAAGATTTGTTTATTTGAAAGGCAGAGTTACAGAGGGAAGGGGTTTTCATCTGCTGTTTACTTATTCCAAATGGCTACAAGGGCCATTGGGTGAGCCAGGCCAAAAGCCTGGACCTTCATCCAGATCTCTCACAGGGCAGCTGGGGCCTAAGTACTTGGGCCATGCTCTGCTGCCTTCCCGGGCTCCTTAGCAAGAAGATAGATGGGAAGTGGAGCAACCAGGATGCAAATCAGTGCTCTTATGTGATGTTAGTGTTGCAGGTAGTACTTAACCTGCTCTAACACAATGATGGCCCTCCTCTCCTATTCTTCCAAGTAGAAACAGTTCCACCAAGACCCATTTCAGTGTGGTAGTGCCTTAAGGGCTGACTGACTTGGGTCGGGGAGTCCATTTTTGGTCTGTGTTGCTGGCTAGGTCATAGATGACAGTGAAACAGAAACCTGGACTTGATGCTGTTCCTCATGGACTCTGCTGTCCTCCCTCTGCTCAACCTCCCAACTCCCAGGGACTGTGTGGCATTCAGGGAGCAATGGAGGCTGCCAGTGGCAAGGCCAAGGCAAGCTAAGCCTCAGTCAGATCCAGAAGTGGCCAGCTCATCTTGGTCATGGTCCCAACTGCAAGTCTTTCTGGAGTATTGCAGCCCTTGCCTTAGGACAGGACAGTGAGTATCTGGCTGGCATCAGTTTGTTGCAGTCAGAATTTTTTGCAGGCCACACTGTATATCTCCAGCTCAGTGTGCTGTTGTGTTAATAATCCCTGGAAGTGCTCATTTCCCCTAGCAAATTCTGACAGTCAGGGATAAAAACAGTTCCTGTTTAGGATAAACATGGGATGTTACTACTGAAGGTAAACATGATGAAGAACTGCAAACCTGATTTTGTTTTCTGATACCAAACAAATGTATAGAGCTGGACTCACACACTTGCACATGGGGAATGCTGACCCTGCGTGGCAGCAGGAAACAGCAGGGAAGTCCACCTGGCAAGTCAGAGAGAAAGATCCCCAAGAGGCAGATGTCTGGGGACCCCAGACATCACAGGGAAAGACGCCAGCTGGGCTCCAGGGCCAGGCAATGAAGCTGTGGCCCTGACTCCTGGACCCTTCGTACAGTGCAATCCATCTTTACCCCAGGCAGGTGCTTTCGGCTCTGTCTTAAGTTTTTCCTTGTTGGTTTGTTGTGTTCTGGCACCACACCCCCTGTTTCTCTGATGCCATCAAAATAGGGGTGCTGCAACAGCTGCTCACAGCTCCGTCTCTCAGCAGGGTCCATGTGCAGGCAGCCCTATAAGAACAGAAAAAGTCCTATCCTGGCATCCTTCAAATGATTTTAACATCACTGTTTCATTTTTTAAAAGACTAAACTTTTCAGTTGCGAAGGGGTGGGACAAAAAAAGATAAGAAAAACACACCATCATAATTTGGCACTTCCATGTTCTAAATGGTTACCCTCATGAAACATATACAGCATGTATACATGTGTACATACAAATGCAGTCCTCTGTGTGTAGTCTGTAAAAAGAATACTACATATACGACACAAATAAAGTTCACGCAGAATGCAGCAGTCTCTGCCACTAGGGGTTTTGCATGCCTCCTCCTATAATCAGGTACTCTGTGTATACATGTGTGTACATGTGCACACACATCATATGTATGTCACATGCATGTCTTCACAGAAATTGTCTATGTGATATAAATATATAGGAGGATATGGGTAAGGAAAAGCCCTACATATCTGCCTTTGTATTACATCATTCTCAACTGTTGTCTTTATCTTGAAGGAGGCCATGAGGGCTTACACTTGGCTAGGTAACTTTCACAACTGCATATCCCAAGAAATTATCTTAATTGTTTTGTCATACATACATAGTAAATGCGTGATTTTTTAAAATATAGGAAATCAATACCTCACACATCTTTTAATGAACAATAGATCTCCTTTATGTATGAGCTGCAGTTCTAACAATGCATATGAAAATCAGAGGTAAAATAGAGGCTTACTTCAGCTGCACTGGGACCTGGGGTATTGGAAAGGATCCTCTGTAAGAGAGTACCACTCCTTTGAAGTTTCAATCCTGTCAGTTAGATTCCAAACACAACATGAACTATACTTAAAGTAGGAGAACTTGGGCCGGGCACAGTAGCCTAGCAGCTGAAGTCCAGGATTCCATATGGGTGCCAGTTCTAATCCTGGCTGCCTGCTTCCCATCCAGTCTGGGAAAGCAGTCAAGGACGGCCCAAAGCCTTGGGACCCTGCACCTGTGTGGGAGACCTAAAGAGGCTCCTGGCTCCTGGCTTTAGATTGGCGTAGCTCTGGCCATTGTGGCCACTGGGGAGTGAATCATCAGACAGATCTTTTTCTCTGTCACTCTTCCTCTCTGTATATCTGACTTTTCAATTAAAAAAAATCTTTAAAAAAATTAAAAAAAACACCACACTTAAAAAAATTGGAAAGCTACTCCAGAGGAAGAGAGCTCCCAGAGACCCCAGTAGTTCAGGGTCCCCACCAAGAACACTTGCCCTGCACCTCCTGGTCAGCTCTGAGCCAGGGTTTTACCTTTAAGAGTCCCAAGGCAGGATGAGAGATGTTTGGGAGTTTTACTTCCAAGGGTTCCTGTTGCGAAAAAAGGAAAGGGGCTTTTAATTCATAACATGGGCTCCATTAGTCCATTTACCTCCAGCTAAAGCTCTTTAGAGCAGAAACATCTTCCTAGTGCCCCCTCTAGCTGGCTGCACCCCACACTCAAAGCCTAGCCCTCCCACTATAAACTCCCTATGCCAGTTTCACAAGCTCCACTTCCCACTTAAAAACTAGCTTTGTCAATATAGATAGCAAATCCTAAGTAAATATTAAGGGAAGAAAAAAAAAACTTGCTGAGAAATTGGTGTTTCAGGTTATTTTCTACCTCAATTTAAATGACTTATTTGTCCTAGAAATTCTGACATTTATACTGGCATAAGAAAGAGTAGAGCCGGGCCTGGCGTGGTGGCGCAAGTGGTTAAGGTCCTCGCCTTGCACACCTGGGATCCCATATGGGTGCCGGTTCTAATCTCAGCGACCCCGCTTCCCTTCCAGCTCCCTGTCTGTGCCCGGGAAAGCAGTCGAGGACGGCCCAAGGCTTTGGGACCCTGCACCCGCGTGGGAGACCCGGAAGAGGCTCCTGGCTTCGGATCCGCAATAGCATCGGCCGTTGCGCTCACTTGGGGAGTGAATCATTGGACGGAAGATCTTCCTCTCTGTCTCTCCTCTCTGTATATCTGCCTTTCCAATAAAAAAATAATAAAAATAAATCTTAAAAAAAAAAGAAAGAGCAGACCCTAATGAGCACATCTGATATTTTCATATATGGAGTTTCAAAGCAGATTCTCCCCCTACACCCTTCCATTCTCCCACTTCCACTGCCCCAAGATGAACAGAACCATCTTGGTTTCCTGGAATCCACTCCTGTCTCCTCCCACAGGAGGCCACAGTCCACCCTTCCTCGGCCTCTTGCTGCAAGTACTCCACAGCCCACATTCATGTCTCCTGTGGGCCACAGGGGGCTGCAGGGCTCCAGGCATGTGCTGTGGTCAAACAGGGCAAATGCTGGGCACAGAGAGGCAGGGCAACATGGGGCAGACAGGCCAGTGACATCATCACCCTCTGCTGAAGGATGCGGGATGCGGGAGGAGGGAGCTGGGCCACTGAGCATGAAGATGGCAGGCAGAGTGACTGCGCAGGCCCATCCACTGACAGCTTGGGGCTGGATGCACAACACTCTCCCCAACCCCTCATTCCCCTATCCTCACCCCCGCAGCCAATCCACAAGCCCTAGTCCACGGCTGACCAGAGCAGGCAGGCCAGAAGGCTGTGAATTCTGACAGTTTCTTCTGTTTCACAGGAGGAAAAGGAATCCTCAGGTTGATGTGCCTTTATTCTGCAGAGTGGCCTCCTCCCAGACCCCACCCCCTGCCTTTCCGTGTGGGCAAGCCTGCCGGAAGCCCTGCCAGGCTCAACGGCCACTGCTAACCAAAGCAACTGTGCCTGTGCTACCCTACCCCACACCCAGCACACTCCTGCCAGTGGAGCTGGACTCTCAGCCCAGAAGCCAGGGGCCTCCTGGTCAGGGTCACAGTCAGCCAGACTGCACATAGAGAGCCCAGGCACAGATGTGCAACAGCATAGCCCCCGCAGTGCTCCTTCCTGTGTTGCTGTCAACAGGAAATCTCCTGCAGGACAACCTCAAGGACAACATAGGAAGTGTTTTACGTTTATGAAACCGGGATTGTTTCGGAGGCACCGCACAGACAATCGAACCGGAAACCACTAAAGGATATTTAGTACAGAACAGGGAATGTCCAGGTCACGAGGGCACCAGATGGATTGCCCCCTACATGCCAGGTGTCATTCCTCTGTCCCTTATGCTAGCACTGCAGGAGGGGACAAGGCAGAGACATGGAAGCTGTCACTGTGGGCTGCAGCAAGAGGCTGAAGGCACAGACAGGATGTGAGTCCCGGAGCAGAGGACACAGATTAGCTCCACTTGCAAAGTTCCTTCCTCAGGACAGCCTCTGCACTTCGCAGACCTTCATTCTGCTCCAAAGTTTTTAACATTTTGTTTTAGTTGAAATAGTGACAGACGATTTTTACTCTCTGGGTCCCTTCCTGAACACCCACAGTAGCCAGGACTGGGCTAGGCTGGAGCTGGGAGCCAGGGGCTCCAACTAGGTCTCCATCCAGAGTTCCATCTAGAAACCCAAGTACCTGAGCCACCACCTGCTCCCTCCCAGGGTGCACACTGCAGGAAGCTGGAGCTGGGAGCACAGGTAAGGACTTGAAGCCCGGCACAGCCAGTAGACCAAATACCCAACCCAGAAATGTTTTGTTGTTGTTGTTATAATACAGGCATATTAGGAATCATTTAGATTTTTTTTTTTAACATGATGAAAAACAACCACCCCATAATCCTATTCTTGATCTTAGTCAAAAGGCTGAGAAGCGATACCCCATTATCTTACTATGAGGAAATATCCACTGTTAATAGTTTGATATCCTTGCAGTATTTTTTCCCCACAAATATAAAAAGCCCTGCATGATTACAATACTGTTTTACATTTATATATCTAAATACAAGTATCTATTTTTGTTACACATTTATTATATCAAATTATACAGACTGTTTTAGAATCATTGTTTTCATTTAGCAATATGTTGTGGACTTTCAGGAAAATGAGTAGATATAAGACTAGTCACTTTCAGGATACAGTAGGCTGGGCTTTCACCTACGGTGCCAGCATTCATGCTGGTTCATGTTTTAGATGTTCCACCCTGATCCAGTTCCCTGCTTATGGGCTGAGAAAGCAGCAGAGAATGGCTCAAGACCTTGGGCCCCGTACACGTGAGAGACCCAGAAGAAGCTCCTGACCTTGGATCAGAGCTCAACTCTGGCCACTGCAGTCATCTGGGGAGTGAACCAAAAGATAGAAGATATTTATCTATCTATTCTTGCCTTCTCTCTATAATTACCTTTCAAATGAAAATAAATAAAATTTAAAAAAATTTAGTCACTTTTACTGGCTATATCTTTCTATTATAAAAATGATCATAATTTAATCCTCCTCTATGCCTTTGTCTAATGGTCTCTTTGGGATAACTGCTCAGGGTAGATTAAGAGTGTGAACATTTAAAATTTTTTCAGGTTTAGGAATGAATGTTTTCCCCCACAGTGGCCCAAGCAGACAGGCCCCAGATGAGGCTGTCCTAGTAAGTCCATTACAATTGCTTTCCTGTGGTCTTGGGGCTATGAACACATGTAACAAGGGAGCTGGACAACACTGAGAAAAAAAGTGCTGAAGTTTTCTTGGGTGAATCAGTGAGTACACACTGCTGGTTCTGAGTTACTTGGGTCAAGTGCAGAAAATGATAAAGAGCAGGTATGGCTGGGGCAGACAGCTTTGCAAGTGCAGCAGGCTAGCCACCCTTAGCCACCAAGAGTCTCGAAACTAGCCCTTTGCTAGCCAATCTGCTTCAGTTTGAACTGAGATCTTCTAGTGCAGGGTTAGCCATATGGCTAGGGCAGGAGAGTAGTTTTCTTTTTTCTTTTTAAGATTTATTTATTTTTTATTGTAAAGGCAGATATACAGAGAGGAGGAGAGACAGAGAGGAAGATCTTCTGCCCAATGTTTCACTCCCCAAGCTGCTGCAATGGTTGGAGCCAGGAGCCGATCTGGAGGAGCCTCTTCCAGGTCTCCTATGCGGGTGCAGAGTCCCAGGGCTTTGGGCTGTCCTCAACTGCTTTCCCAGGCCACAAGAAGGGAGCTGGGTGGGAAGTGGAGCTGCTGGGATTAGAACCAGCACCCATATGGGATCCTGGTGTGTGCAAGGTAAGGACTTTAAACCACTATGCTATTGCATCAGGCCCAAGGGAGTAATTTTCATAACCTTGCCAGCATGGGGTGCCGGCTCTCTGAGAGGGAGTCACTCACCGTATCTTCAGGGTCAGGAATTTTCACCCCATTGAAGTACTGATTTTTGCTGAAGACTTGCTGGTGCCTAGGAATGAGATCCCCTTTGGGTAAGAAAAAGAAAAAAGAAAAAAAGTGAGACTGAAGTCCATAAGTGCAAATCAAAGTGGAACTCGCTGATCCTGTGTGAAGATAACAGTGGACTGGCTGAGCAATGAAACGAGTGCCAGCTGAAAGCGAACACTCAGGCAGGCGGGGAGGGAAGGAGCACGGTGAGGTGGGTTTTCGGGTTGGGGAACAGTTTTTCACGCTGGCACCACCTTCCAACTGTTGTACCAGTTAGTGACCAATCAGAAGTGCCACATCTGTTGCTGACCTGCCCTTCTTACGTGAGGTGACAAAAGGAGCCTTCCCAGGGCTAGTGGCACAGTCAGCTAAACTTCTGCCTGTAATGTCAGCATCCTGTACTGGAGTGCCAGTTTAAGTCTCTGCTGCTCCACTTCCAATCCAACTCTCCCACTACTGTATTTGGGAAAGCAAGGGGAGACAGCACAAATGAGTTCTAGGACCCCAGAACCCAAGTGGGAGGCTTGAATGGTGTTCAAGGCACCTGGCTTCGGCCTTGGCCAGCTCTAGCGATTGCAGACATTTGGGGGAGTGAAGTGGCAGATGGAAGATCTCTCTATCACTCTGCCTTCCAAATAAAATAAATGTTTAATGTTTTGTTTGTTTGTTTGTTTTTAAAAACAAGTCCTTCCATTTTCCAGGGCACTGTGCCAAGCTCATTCATCCCAAGCATATTTCTACCGAGCAAACTCAAATCACCCTCCTGCAAGATACCAGCAATCTGGTACTTGGAGAACTCCATTCAGACAGTGAGACACCTAGAAGGGCCACCTGGGGAACAGCAAAGATCCCCTCCCCAGAGCAGCATGGAAAACACAAGCGCCCCTGCCAGGGGCCTGGACTGTCCCTGAGGGACTGGGCTCCAGTCACTACCTAGGGTATTAAACTTCCCACTCTTCTCTGTTTTGTTTCAGAACTTTACAACTTACTCAGCTCCGCAAACTGCTGCCTCATCCCATTTGGGACAAATGACCAAAGTGGAAGGGAGCTTTAGAAGCTTGTGGGAAATGACTTGAAAGACAGGTTTACTTTTGTGTAAAACTATTTCAAAACCTACTCACGTGTGGGTCTTCAAGAATACCATGGAAGATGTGTAGTATGAAAAAATATATGCAGATTTCAAATTTGTTTACAACAAGATTTATTTTTAATTCTTTTTCCATTAATCTTTTGGCACACACACTGCCGCCCATGTATACCCTCTAATACGTTATCCTAGATTTCAAAAGCTTCATTATAAACACAATTCTCTGTACCTTAAAAACCTTCCTGTAGTGTCAGTTTTATTCCTAGCTACTCTAATTCCAATCCAGTTCCCAGCCAATGCACTTTGGAGGGCATCAGAGGATGAACCCAAGCACTTGGTCACCTGCAGGCCTACATGGAATTTCTGCCTGCTTATTAACTTAGGCTGGCCCAGGCTTGGCTGTTGAAGCCATTTGGGGAGTAAATCTGTTGATAGAAGATCTCTCACCCTCCCTGTGTCTCTGTTCTGTCTCTAACTGCCTTCCAATTAAATAAATAACAAAAACAAAAATACTCTTCTTCCAGCAGAGCTAGACAGGGTGATGGCAGGGAGGGTATTCTAAAGCAACCACAGAAGGAGTGCTCCAGGAAGGGTAGCAATGAGTCTGATCCGTCACTCAGCAAGACCCAGCTGCCAGCAAGTATTTACTGCCTGCACCATGCACACACTGGCAGGGGACAAGCAGGAAGAAAAGACAGGATCTCACTCTCAGGCGCCTTTCTGTCTCTCCAGGAAGATAAGAGGACAAGGCAAGACCTGGTGTGTGCAGATATGACAGGAGCATACAAGGAGAAAAGGGACGGTTTCAGCAAAGACAGGAGTGGGGTCAAAACTTGCAGCTCTGAAAGGGCAATCATTGCCTGTGGGTCATGCCATCTGTCCCTTGCCCTCCTTCTCTTTTCTTCCCCGGCCCTGCCCCTCATTCCAAGGGCACCAGAGTGGGTAAACAAGACGAGAGACTTAAGATGAACCAGCCTCTCTTTCCAATGTCAGGCAGAGTGATAGTCTTCCTCCACTGAGCCTGAAGGCTACAGTTAGGGACATGCAAGTATATTAGCTCTCATAATAATTGTGAAATAAAATGAACCATGGTTGCTATGATCAGCCCTTAAAGTTATTTTTTTTAAATTAACCTTTGTTTATTTGAAAAGCAAAGTGACAGAAGAGCGCACACACCACACACACACACACACACACACACACACACACACACACACACACACACACACACACACACACACACTGGGCTGGGCTAAAGCCAGAGCCAAGAACTCCAGTGCAGACTGCCCATGTTGGTGACAGGAACCTAAATACCCGAGCTGTTTCCCGTGGCATTCCAGAGGCTGTATTAGCAGGAAGCTCAGATCTGGGATGCAGGCACCTCAAGTTTCATCCTGACCACTGTGTGCAACACCTGCCCATGGTCCTTACTTAGAGTTTCACTAGATCTAAAGTACAAGTCAGAATCTTCAGTCTTTGGAAAAGTTATTATGTAGTCAAAGATTGCTTATTTGAAACAGACAGATGGAAAGAGAACAAGTTCCCAACTCCCAGCTCAACCCCCCAAATGCCTGCAATGCCAAGGCCGAGTTGGGCTGCAGGCAAGACCTGCGAATGCCATCCAGCTCCCCCACATGGGTGACAGGAACCTAGCTGCTTTAGCCATCATCTTTTCCTAAAAGGATGCACATCAGCAGGAAGCTAGAAGTCTGAACTGGAGCTTATACGGAACTCAAGTACTTTAAAGTGGTAAAGCAGGTTTCCTATCTAGAATCTTAACTGTTAGGTAAAACATTTGCTCTAATTCATTAAAAATTTTTTAAATACTTTTCTTATCTGAAATGCTGAGTGACAGAGAGATCTTCCATCTTCTGGTTTATTCCCCAAATGACCCCCAAGAACCAGGAAGGCCAGGCGCAATTCTGGAAAAAGGCACTCCACCTGAATTACACATTAGGGTAGCAGGAACTGGAGTTGGATCAAAAGTGGAGGAGCAGGGACTTGAACTGATGCTCTCATAAGAAATGTAGGTGTTCCAAGCAGTGGCTTAACCACTGTGCCATAACCCCTGACCCCAAATAATTTCATTAAAACAAATATGCACATTCTTACTGAACTCATTTAAATCAGACTGATGCTTTCCTTTCAAAATTGAAAAATGTGTTACATGAGATGAAGAACAAGGCTCTGTTCTGCACCAACCAACTAACTTATCCCAAAATATTCTCAAAAGGCAGAAAAAAAACACCACCTACCCAAGGTTTTCCTGATGAGGTAGAGCTGATCCACGTCTGATTTTCCTGGCCACAGAGGCACTCCTGACATCAGTTCAGCAAAGACACAGCCAACTGCCCAAACATCTACTGGGGGCCCGTACTGTGTGTCCCCCACCAACAGCTCCGGTGAGCGGTACCATCTGGTAGCCACGTAATCTGTATAGTAGTCACCAGGGACAGCTGACCAGTGAAAGGACAAGGAACAAAAAAAGCATGGTTGGAATTCTGGACACATAGGTGGGAGGAAGACCTAAGATATTGAGCTTGTGGTTCTCAGTATGTGTTTGAAATAATTGATGCTGGGGCCATTCTGCTACTAAATCAGGACCCTGGGAAGGGCCGACTGTTGGGGCCAGGGAAAGAACTGATACAGAACAAGTTGCCTGAATGATTCGAATGAAAACCCCTCCTAAACTAGCAATTCTGGAAAGTATCATTTTAGTAAAAAAAAAAAAAGGGGGGGGGAATGGAATTTACATAATTTACATAGTACATACTTAAACCACTAAGTGTGTCTACATGTTTTCAAGTTATAATTTTGAAGTTACAGAATGATAATTTATGCAAACTGATTATCTATGGAAAGAAACAAGCTATTTCTAGTGTTTAGACCCTCGATCAAATCAAGAACTTTCCCATCTTCTACACTTAAAGAAAGCAACAATACTCACTCAGTAATCGAGCAAACCCGAAATCACAGAGTTTAACAACTGAATGCTTTGTGATGAGGATATTTTCTGGTTTCACATCTCTGTGTATGCACTAGTTACAAAAATCAAAGCAAAAACAAATTATTAAGGAGTAAATGGAATATGTGGGATGAGTAAAACCCAAACATTTAGCAAAATTGGAGAAATCATTTGAATCTCTCATTCATGGTCATAATAGCCCTATTGGGCAAGAACAAAATGGCAGCTTAAATAAAATATTCATACTCTGAATCACCGCACATTCCTGCAAGATCGAAATGCACTGAGAAGGGTAAAATAAAAAAAGGAAGGTAAGCTGAACTTCACTGACAGAATCACAGACTGCCAAGTTAAATTTAAAACCTACAGCATGGGGATCCTTTGCTTAATCTGACAACTCTCGGTGACAGTAAACAGTGAGAAGGCACTGGTCACAGGAGCTGCAAGTTGGTGCATCAGCAGAATTCATGGTGTGGCTGTTGGAGAACAGAATGCAGTCTGCCTGGTAAACAGGACAAGTCCTGGGCCTGCTGAGATAAGCTGGGAAAGGCCAGGGTGGAACCTGGAGCTTGCCAAGGGATCTCCCCTCCAGCTCTGGCAAGCATCATGACCAGATAAACAAGAGCAGGCAGCAGTCGTCACCCTCTGGCAAGTCACTAGATGTCAGCTCTGTTCCATGCTCATCCAGAGCTGCCTGCTGCACTGGGCCCTAGGGATGTGGCACCCATGCCAAAATTTAGACTCAAGTCACCTGTGGTGCCCAGCCCACAGCCAGCATTCTTTACTAAGGGGATTTCAGAGAGAAGAACGTTGAGAATCTTTAGTTGGTTTTCTTACTGAATGACAATTTCCTTGGCAAAGAACATCACCAACAGCCCAATTAGCAAACACACTGCAACAGCTGCAACAGAAATCAAAACATTTGGGTCCAAATACCACTCAGGGTTCCTAAAAATCTCCTCTTCTCCCCTTCCTGCCTGGAGGAGCTGTTCATCACTTCTGCCATCTGAAAGATCTGGCCTGTAGCTTGAAATTCTGGGGTTATTCTTGATCTTCTAGACTCAGAAGAAAGGATACGGCTTCCTTATGGTGGGGTGGGGTGGGAGGAAAACAGCTTTCCCTCCACAGGATCTTCTGGGGGCAGGGAGATCAGGGATAGTGTTTCCTCATGGGTATTTAGTAATCTAGAAAATTCAGGGGGAAAGGCAGTATCTTTTGACATTAGGACCATCACTTGGCTGCCAACAACTTGTGGTTCAAAGACCCCCCCACTGTTTTGTCACCGGCTCCACATGCTGCTATAAATGGACATGCCCACGAATACGACAACATATGGTCAGAAGTCATTGTGGGCAAGAATGTGCTTCACGTCCGCTCTGGGAATTCTTTGCAGGCTTCTGCGTCCTCCCTCGTCTGCACATGTATACCAACCATGCTCCTGGGGCTCAGCAAGCAACTGTGGCCTGTGCTGTCTGTCCTCAGTGCTTTGGAGCGTCCCACCTGTCCTGCTAGGAATAGCCCCCAGGAACGAGCTGACCTGTACTGACAGTAACCAACAATGTAAAGGCTCCTCTCCTTGCTGTACAAGATTCTAGCTGTCTGTTGAGTGGAGGCTCAAAAGAAGCACTGGATACTGTTCCTTTCTCCTTTGAGGATGCAGCTTCAGGGAAAGCCATTAGGAACCCTACAAGCCAGGGGGGTGCAGCTCTCCCAGCCTGGAGGTCCATGGGCCACCAGGAGCATATCACACTCGTTGCCAGTGGCAGGGCAGGGGGGGACAGGGAGAGAGGGTCCAAGACTGGAACCTGAGCTCTCTGTGCAGAGAGCAGGCAGTGTTGGACTGGAGAGAGCAGCTAGCTTCCTGGCATCTGCACCCATGCCTGCTATCAGTGCCAGCTGAATACAGAAGCTCCAGGTATCTACTTGGGGCTGCTCTGGCCCAGACTTGGCTCACTCCTATCTCACCAAAGCAGAGGACCACATGGGCATTTAGCTTGGCCCCCACCCACTGCATGATGCAAGTGAACAAGCACCAGTCACCTGGGCTCCTCCCAGTTTCAGAGCCACTGGGGAAGGACGTCAAGTGAACACAGTGCCCAAGAGACTGGGCATCTATCTGCCACCTGAGTCATTTCAGCATAAACATATGACCAGGTGCCTCAAATCTGTTCTGTACAACCTGAGCAAGGATAACCAGCGAGGTGGGATTTTTAACCTCTACTTACCCCAACCAATTTCAAGAAGATTTGGGTGAAACATTATACCCATACAAGCACGATATCAACTTTGAACAAGGCTCTACCTCAGCTCCGAACTCAGCCTGTAGAGTCTTCATGGGAGATCATGAGACTTACATTGTGTTTATGGCAAAAATTTACAGCTTGCAGCGTCTGCCAAGTTATGCTCTTCACAAGATGTTCTGGTACCCTAATAAAAACAAGAAGCGGCACAAACACATTCCTCAGTGCAGCAGTGGAATTCGGCTCCAGGGGAGAGAGGCTAAAGCCAGCCAGGCTGCAGCAGCGAGGAGCCCTGGGCGTCACGTAGTCACTTTGGGCACCAAGCAATCCTTCTGTGAGCACCAAGTCGAAGGGACACGTGCCCCTCAAGGCTGTGGTTTTCTAGAGACAACAGGTCAACAAGAAGCACAAGAATCTATGATGACACTTGAGAAAGTTCATGGAAAAATGCAACTAAAACTTAAGTTTATTTGGTGCATAAAATTCCCTTTCAAAAATTGTTCTTGAACCATCCTCCCCCCCAAAAAATGCCTATTATGAGAAAACTGCTAGTGTCTCTCAAAAATTTTTTGCACCAAAATAAACTTATCCCTTAATTCTATATTTCTCCCAACAGCACTTTAAAAAAAATAATAAAGATGAATTTATTTTTTTTGGAAGGCAAAGTCAGACAGAAAGAGAGACAAAGAAAGACATCTCCCTACCACTGGTTCACTCAACAGAGAGCCATAATGGTCAGGCTGGGCTGAGTCAAAACCAGGAGCCACAGACTCCACCCAGGACTCCCAATTTGTGTTCAGGGGCCCTGGGGACTTGGGTCACCTTCTTCTACTTTCCCAGGTGCATTAGCAGGAAGCTGGATTGGAAATGTAGCAGCTGGAACTCAAACTGGCATGCATATGAGTTGCTGGAGTTGTAAGCAGCAACTTAATCCCTTGTGCCATAATGCTGGCCCCAATCTCATATGATATTTAAAGTTTCTTCTTGGGGGCCTGACAAGATAGCGTAGAGGTTAAGGTCCTCGCCTTGAACATGCCGGAATCCTATATGAGCGCCGGTTCTAATCTTGGCGGCACCGCTTCCCACCGAGCTCCCTGCCTGTGGCCTGGGAAAGCAGTTGAGGACGACCCCAAAGCTTTGAGACCCTGCACCCACATGGGAGACCCAGAGGAGGCTCCTGGCTTTGGATTGGCTCAGCTCCAACCGTTGTGGCCGCTTGGGGAGTGAACCATTGGACAGAAGATCTTCCTCTCTGTCTCTCCTCTGTATATCCTCCTTTCCAATAAAAATAAACATATCTTTTTAAAAAAATAAAGTTTCTTCTTGGTTAGAAACCCTCCATGGGTTTCATCAAGTCTTTAGGACCCCTTATCTCACACATCTCTGACACCACACAGATGCTCTCTGATCCCTTGAGCTCACTTCTGCATGGAACTTCCCACAGATATAAGGCGACTTACCAGCCAGTACAAAGGACACTGTTTATTTGTCCAAGTTGCTCAGGCAAATGATCTGGAAGTAGGACCCATCTTCTAGGTGTAGGCATACAGTTTCTCAAAATTTCCTTGCTAATATTTAAAACAATTTTTTGGTTGTATTTTTTGGGGGCAGGCACTATGATGCAGTGCATTAAGTTGCTGCTTGGGACACACACATCCAGTATCAGTGTGCTGGGCTAAGTCCTGCTACCTTGTGCTTCCCATCCAGCTTCCTTCCAACACGCCTGGGAGGTCGTAGATCAGGGTCCACCCACATGGAAAGCCTGGATGGGTTTGGAAAACCTGGCTTTATCCTGGCAGAGCTCGAGTTATTATGTCTACTTGAGAATAAACAATGGATCTACCTCTCTCTCAACCTCTCTCCCTCTCTTCCTTCCTCCCTCCCCCATCCCTTCCTTCTTTTTTGGTAAAAAGAGGGAGAGAGAGACATCATGATTTTTCATCTGTCAGCTCATTCCAAAAATGCCCTGTTGCAGCTGGAGCAAGAACAGGCTGAAGCTAGGAGGCAGGAGCTTCATCCAGGTCTCCCACATGGGTGGTACGGGCCCAAGTACATGAGTCATTTTCTGCTGCTTTCCTAGACACGTTAGCAGGGAGTTGGATCAGAAGCAGAGAAGCTGAACATGAACTAGTGCCCATGGGATGCTGACATTACGAATAGCAGCCCCTGTAATTGTCTTTTATTATTATTATTGCAAAGTCAGATATACAGAGAGAAGAGACAGAGAGGAAGATTTTCCGTCCAATGATCCACTCCCCTAGTGACCGCAACGGCCAGTGCTGTGCTGATACAAAGCCAGGAGCCAGGCACCTCCTCCAGGTCTCCCACGCGGGTGCAGGGTCCCAAAGCTTTGGGCTGTCCTCCACTGCCTTCCCAGGCCACAAGCAGGGAGCTGGATGGGAAGTGGAGCTGCCGGGATTAGAACCATCGCCCATATGGGATCTCGGGCACATGCAAACAAGGACCCTAAATGCTAGGTCACCACGCTGGGCCATATAATTGTCTCTTTAAGGAAATGACAATCTCACTGATGGTGACATAGCATAGGTTCCAGCAGCCCCTGGAATTGACTTTTTAAGGAAATGACAATCTTACTGATGGCGATATGGCAGAGGTTCCACTACACACCATACAACAGAAGTCCATACTGATTAACTAACTACCCAGTGAAGCCTTGCGGTTCTGGTCCTGCACTACTGCTCTCCAGCAGGCAGCTGATCCAAGCTCATCTCTCTGCCTCTCCTGTCCTCAGAGCATTTCAACCCTGGGCCCCTGTTCCCTGCCTTCCTCCCAGACTCCACACTGAAAGAACCAACCATCTCCTGGGTAGATGAGAAAAAGATTTCTCATTGAGGAGCAATTGAAAAAAATACAAAAGACATTCAAAAAGTTCATAGAAATAAAACTAGGGGAGAAGTTCACTTTGATGCAAAAAGTTTGAAATCCACAGCCATGAGGGATCTTGAAAAGTCCAAGATAATAGTATATTACTAAAGAACCAGGCGTGGGTCCCAAACATTTCTGCAACAAAACCAGCCTATCACTGACTTCCATTTTCCACAAAAATCCTGAAGTTCCCTTATATGCAGCAGTGAATAAAATGGACTACAGAGGGAGTGTGCTTGCCCTCAGAAACCAAACCCACCACCAGGTGGACTCCTGCTTTTATGAATCAAATGCTAACCAAAGCTGCCGTGGTCCTGAGTCAAAGCCTGCAAAGTAAGCCAAGGAGGAAATGCTGCAGTAGTTGTGCTAAAGGTGACCACAAAAGCTCACTTCAAGCCCCTGGGACGGGCTACAAGGCCACAGTTGTCACAGACCAGACGTTCAGGAAATCCTTTCAAGAGATCAGAGGACACTTGGCCAGGCAGCAGAACAACGTAGAGGAAATGGAGAGGCCACCTCCAGGAAGAAGAGCTGGGACAGTTCTAAATCAGTACTGTGTCCCTGGGTTCCAAGGAGTTTCTTGCCAAATTCTCTTCCTTGTTCTCGCAGCACATGTGCTAGAAAACCTCACCTGTGAGGACAAAGTGCACCCAGGAAGGGATAGGGCTGAGGCAGGCCATTCATACCTCCAATTCTTTGGTCCCCACAAAATGAAACATGTATTGATTAGTGTAGTAAAAATATCAGGTTGGCAGTGCAGGCAACATTACTCTCTGAAAACATTTGTCAAAAGAAACGATGCAGAAGGAGTTTCTGTAGGCAAATGATGTTGGTGCATCACTGATGCTCCTCTAACACCTTCTTTGCTCCAACACCAAGCATGAAAACTTTGCAAACCGTCCCTATGGTTGGTCGCCTGGGGTCAGATAGTCATTTCACTTCTTTCTCAATCTCTGCCCTCTGGAATATAGAGATCTCAGAGTCCAAAATCCCTTTCAGCTGCAACACTGAGATGGTAACAGGAGTCAAGGTTTCCCTGTGCAAGAAGGGAGTTACAAATATAGAAAGGCAGAAAAACAAAATACATTCTGTGGTATTGGGCTGGATTTCAGAGCTATTCCAACACATGCACACATGAGCACATAGACTCGCTCTCTCTCAAATAAGTTCATGGCAAATGGAATTAAAAGATAAATTTGATTCAACACAAAAAAATTTCTAAATTCTTGCATATAAGGAATCTTTAAAAAATCACTAGAAATACATATTATGAAAAAACACTGTATGAATTTCATACAAAATAAAAATTTCACCAAAATAAACTTGTAATTTAATTCTGTTTTCCTCAAACTTTCCACAAACTGCCTCCTCCAATCACCTCCCCTCCCCCAACACACACCTTAGACCCAGTGCTACACATAGGTGGCCAGAAAGCTTCTCTGGGTTAGGAAACATCTGGAGTAGTGGTTAAGGTGGAAAAGAGTGGCTAGATTTTGAAATTTGGCCTTTGGGAGTTTCTGAGAGATTGGGTGTGAAAGACAAGAATCGAGGAATGCCACCGAAGTATTTGGCTTGAGTTATTGGGACATGGTGGTATCATTTACTGGAAAAACACTAGGGGTTGGCTACTTGGGATGCAAGAGTGGATAATTTGAGAAATGAAGTGGATATCCAAGGAGGCTTGGAGAAGAGTTGTGACTTCAGAAAGAAGGTCAACCACAAATACAAGTTTGACAAGCACAAGCAGACAGTAATTCAGAGCCCAGCACTGTTCAACACCCTTTGAGGCAGTATCACAGGTAAAGAGTAGGGGCATGGCAGGCCTTTCTGGGGCTCCACAATACTTGGAGGTGCCTAAGGAGTAGGCTATGGCTAAGAAGGTGGAGTTGAGGCCCTAGTGAGCTCAAAGTTCCCACCAAGGAACCTGGTGTGCCAGAAGCTAAGCACACATGATGCTCAGGTGTTTTTGTGGCTTGAGGATAGATGGAACAAACCCCCTTTACTTCCAGAAGCTGCCTGCGCCTATGTGGGAGGCATTGCTTCCAAGCCCAACACATACCAGGTCTGGCAGAACAGAGCTGAGACCTTAGCAGCACTGCCTAGACCCGGGAAAGCACAGGCCTAAGAAAATGAAATCAAAATCAGAAGAGGAAAGGGTGGAAAGCCGACCACTGACACCCAAACAAGTCTCAGTCACTAGTGGCCCAGAACGCGACAGAGCTGGGAACGAGGAAGAGGATGGGAAATTCCATTAGCAAACAAACACCTTGATCCACTCTCCTGCCCTGTGTGCACAGGGAG